ACAACTTTGGAAACAAAAATTAAGAACAACTTTGGAAACAAAATAAATCCTGGAACGATCAAATCATCAAAATGATATAGTGATATACTTGATAATGTCACGATTCGTGAAAATTATAATTACAGTCGAAAACTGTCAATTTTTTGCTAAATTTGCAGTTCTTTTCCTGTAGTATGAAGTGTCATCGATCATTTGTTTTTTTTTTTTTTACACATATTATACAAGTCAAGTACCTAGTCGATCATTTTGTTAATACTTCCTCGACCCTAAGAAAATGTCATGTTTATTGTATTACAATAAGAAAAGAAAATTACAACCTTATCCGTATGGAAAGAGCAATAATAGTTCCCTTTTGACAAACTATGTTAAGACAATGACAGTTTTTTTTTTTACAAAAAAAAAATGAATAAATACTTATCAACTAAAAAACAAAAAGTTAATAATACAATAATCTAAAATTTTGGAATAACTTGAGACTTTATACATATATATGTGTATATATATATATATATATATATAAATTCTCATGTTCATTATATATATATATATATATGTACAGTTAATAGTATGTAAATATATGTAGAGGATATAAATAAAGTTGATCAAGGGTCTAATTGTACAGAGTCTGTAAATGAAGGTGTCTGATTGTAAATAGCTGTATAGAATAGTCAGCTTAGTATTTAATAACCGAATCATTGTCAGTTTTTTACACAATTAATCATTTTTCAATTAATGATCAAATAATCAGATTTACCAAGTACCCTAATTCACTTTTACTCTTTTCTTTCTTCTTCCATTTTTCATCAAATTCTTCCCAAATTCGATAACAAATTTGAGATATATATATATATATATGTATAGATAAATAATCTATATATAGAGAGAGGGTATGTAAACTTGGACTTTTTACCAAAAGTTGAAAATTTTCTATATTCATAGCAAGATTCGAACTCTGTTAATGGTAGAATTATCCTTTCTACTCAGTCACTTTGGTTAACTTGAAACTTTTTAAACATTTAGTGAGGGGAAAAAAAAGGGGAAAATCAACTTTATGAGACATTCTAAGGGTTTTCTTTTCTTTTATTTTTTTTTTTTTTGTAAAATGATTAATCTTGTATTCATCCATCCTATATCTATCTAGCATGTCATTTTCTCTTTATTCTTTGAAAATAAACTTTACGTAATTCTTGAACTAGTCCTCTAATTTATAAGATAAACAATCTGGAACTAATTATGGTCAAAGAAGAAAAACTTACAAAAAAAAAAAAAAAACCAAATCTTTAATATATGCCTCCATATAGCTTGCAAATGCCATAACAAATCCTCTCCTTGTTTTCTAACTTTATCTTTGAATTATCTTTATCTTTTTTGTATGATGATTCATGGTTGGATTGTTCTATTGTTTTCCTATCTAATCCACCTCTCAAATTATAACTTTGTATCATGATATAGAAAAATACATTTGTTTCAATGTTATGACATTTTCAATTATTATGATGTAAATTGTAGTTTTTACACTTGTGACATACGCTATTTTTGTTATTTTATGAATTATTCATAAAAGAAATGTTATAATTTATAAAGCATATCGAGTGGATATAACATCTAATATATCTTAATATATTAGAAACAAAAACTACGCTTAAGAGAAATCACCATCATTTGCCATGTGGCATTTCCACATCATATTTTTAAAAATAAATTTTTATTACCACATCTCCTAAATTTAAAAGACAAATACAGTCTAAATTCACTTCCACCTCCTATTTTCGTCAAAACAAACAAAAAAAAAACACGGGTTCATAAAAAACAAATCCTCATCCCCATCTCCACGACAATCGACTCCTTAATCAATCCCTTCTCCACAATTAAAAATAAATAAATTCCTCATCAATCATCAATTGAGAATATGTGGTAAAATATACTCCTTTCCTATTAGCATATTCAATCTTTTCATTAGTGATGATCAACTACATCTTAATCGGATAAAATTTCAACTTCAAAAAATATTCTCTTTACCTCTCTATATAAACACAAAGGAAAAAAAAATTCTCATTGATCTTGCTTCGGCCGTTGTGGTGGTGTCATTGCAGGTATTAAAATTTAAATGATTTTATTTCCACAGATCATTAGGTTGGCTTTTATTATTTTTTGTTTTTCCCGTTCAAGAATAGTGTTATTACTATTATTTTTATGCGTCCATCCGTTACAGCTACCGTAGCCGTTGTCAGGTAGTATGATGTGATTTCTTATTTGGTTAGTTAGCCTAGAATTTTTGTATGATTTTAGTTATGTTTGGATTGAATTGATTGATTGGGTTTTTGTTACAAAGTGTGGTTTTTTAAATTTGTTTTTTATGTTTCATTCAATTAGAGTGGTTTTCTTTTTTTAATTATGGAGTCTCAGGTTTTTTTTTCATATATGGCTAATTATGAAGTGTGTTTTTTTTTTTGTTTAATTGCTTTTGATTTTGTTTCATACTCCCAGTTGACCAATTATTATTATTATTATTATTATTATTATTATTATTATTATTATTATTATTTGCAAATGAAGCACGTTTCTTTTTTTGTGTTCGGGGTTTCAAGAATATACTTTTTTGGATTTGGTTTTTAGACTTTTTTTAGTTCCTTATCATATAAATAGTTCAGGTCGCTTCTTTTAACTAATTTATGGGAAATCATTTTATGAATTTGAGGTGAAGAGAGAAGGAATGATGTTTCTACGTTTATTTATGTTTTTATACATTATTTTTACCTACAGAAAAAAATAAAAATTCCCAAATTTTAATGGGCTATCTTTTACTTTTTTTTATTTGCCATCGTGGGGTGAATTCTTTTTTGCTATATCTTGAAACTTATGCAAATTTATATTATTTTCATTCTCATATTTGTGATCAACCAGTTTCAACAATTAACCAGTTTCAAAATCATATTTTTGATATTTTACTACCTATAAACTTTTGGAAGAAATAGTTCCAACAATTAAGCGTATACCCTTTGGAAGAAACTAACTACAAAGCTATTATGAATCTCCAAAACTAAGTATTGATTTGGCATAACCAAGGAGAAAATCAATAAATTATCTTACTAATATTTAAACTTATTATGATACTTTTATATTTTGTCTAGCATTTACTTCAGGACATATATTTGATCAAGTTTATTTATATATAAGAAGTAACACTTATAAAATATTTTTAAAATCTTCAAACATTTCTAAAACATACCGGGCCAAATACAATTTATTTTTTTTTGCCAAATACAAATATCACACTTATAAAACATTTCTAAAATTCTTCAAATATTTCTAAAATATATCGGGCCAAATACAAAATATTTTTTTTTCCAGATACAAACATTTCTAAGATCTACAGATATATTGGGCCAGGGTCGCGTAATTTTTCAGATACAAACATTTCTAAAATCTACAGATATATTAAATCGAATTCGCATTGCGCGACCAGACATCACTAGTACATATAGAGCGTTTCCCAGTTATGATTTCTGAAATTCTATAATTCAAAAACTCATTACTATTGGCAACCGTAGACTTGGGCACCATGCAAATATGGACAAAAAAAAAATTAAAAAATAAAATAGATAACTGAATAGACTTGGATAGAATAATTAGTCAAATAGTGATAATCTGCTCTTTTGGTAACTTGTAGATCAGAATGAGAAGGAACTAGCTAAAAAAGAGTGATTCGAATAGTTATCCAAATTCTAATAATCTGCTCTTTTGGTAACTTGTAGATCAGAATGAGAAGGAACTAGCTAAAAACGAGTGATTCGAATAGTTATCCAAATTCTGATAATCTGCTTTTGATGTAATTTGTAAATAGTATGAGAAGGGACTAGCTCCAAAAAGAGTGACTAGTGATTAGCGACAATGATCTATAATCTAAGCAACCTTACGATGTAATTTATAGATAGTATGAGAAGGGACTAGCTCCAAAAATAGTGACTAGTGATTAGCGACAATGATCCATAATCAAAGCAACCTTACGATCGTCTTACTGCAACGGCTCACACATGAAGATTGGAAATTGGTTCAGAATCAGAATTCTTTTAAACGGTTCATGTTTTGGGGTTTAGAACAAGGTTAGTACAAATTACCAGGAAGAACATCTGGAGAACTAACGGCCATCAGTTGCTCATAGACTTGTGTTTTTCATTTAAATGTAGTAGGTAAACACTCTCACTTCATTTAGCGTTATTAAGTGCACAATTCCTACTCACATCGAGTCATACTGATACTGTCATTAATAGAAAGTAAACGAGGCTTGATGACAATGTAACCAAGGAAAACACAATAAATATCTGGCCACCCACTCACACTTTATTTACTGTAATCAACAACTCCACAACTTCCAAACCCCCCCAAAACACCATGAATTCACAAAGGGATTCATCTGAGCACAATTAGTTTCAATTTCTGTCTGAAACCGATATTTTATACATGTATCTAGAAAAAAGACTAATGTTAAGCCGGCACACCATCAAAATGTCAAGCACCGTCAATATCCAATATCATATCACCATATATAACGCAGTGTGAGTAGTAATACATGTCTTGAAGAGCCAAAAGGGTTTGAGGGAGTCCCCTGTCATGAGTGCACGCAACTCGCAGGTTAATTTCTCCAGGATCATTTGTGGTTTCCTTACAGCAACTGAATTTGCTTCCCCGAATAATCTGCCCTTCGGACAAAATCAAGCCATGTACTGGTCTCCGCAAGCTGTATTATTCCGACAATATAGTTGGGGTTATCTTTCTCCTCAGCATTAGATGTGCTGCCCGTGTTCACCCCCAATGACACAGCATTCTTTGGAGTCAATTAGCTGATCCAATCACACTTCCAAGTCGTCAAATAATGCCTCCAATGAAATCCAATTACTCCTGATTTCTGATATCACTTTAAACCAATTAAGGGCACACGCGATAGCAACATCAAGTAGCTGGATGCAAGAATACCCATCAAATGATAAAGCCCTGCTCTTTTAACCATTATAGTGGTGTTTCTGGCTTTGAGAGCTTTGACCCTGCTGAGCCTGCGGCTGTTGCTGCTGAGCAGTCTGCATGTGAGGCTGCGAATTGTAATGTGCAAAGGGCTGGGAGTAAAGTGGATTGATCATATTCTGTCAAAATTATGAAATATTATCTCAATTCAATTGCAAGAAGACATTACCAAAAAAAAAAAAAAAATAATGATACTAATAAAATTAAAATTTGACCAAATTAGAGGGTAGGACTTAAAATTGAGTAAAGTCTACAATACCAAAAAGCTCCGTGTTGGTAGCAGTTAGCAATGTTGAGGACTATAACTTGAAACATGATCAAACAATAAGACTAAAAATTGCTGAAATACGGAACCTGAGATTGAAGCGGATTGCTATTGGTAACACCAAAGTGATTTTGGGAAGGATCATCCTGCGATGGATCATTAAATGCAGCTTGAGTGAAAAGACCTTGAGAACCATGTGCCATGTAGTCCTACAGCAGTCAAATATAAGGGTCAGCTAGATCCACTGGAAACAAATGACAAAAACTTCGCCATGCCACCCTTGTCATACTTTCAAGATAACTTCTCATATCCATAAAGAGAGCAGAAGGTTTCAAAAGACAAATGTGAGCAGTGTCTTGCAAAAGAATAGGACAAAAAGAAGACAAGATGCTCTGGTTGGTTACCTGAGACATGAAATCAGTTCCTGTACTAAAGCGGGAGTACCCCGCCTGAGAATTCTGGTTCAAGAAGCTACCAGGGAATCCTCCTTGTGCACCTTGCGTAACGTAATCAACAGGATATCCACCTTGAGAAGCCTGGATTGCGGCAAAGAATGTTCAAAACAAAAGTCAAGTCTCAACAACTCGAAGTTTATAAACTAAAGGATTAATTATGAAAAGAAGATAACTAAATCCATCGAAGGAACAATCAGCAAACATTTATATCAAAATAGGTCATACCTGTGTGGAGAAATCAGTAACAGTATATGGAACATGTGATCCTTGACTTTTGAAGTCATCTCCCAAGAAATCCTGATTAATTTAGCAATCTGAATGAGCAACAGATACTCCACATAAATCATATAAAAGAGAGTTACATTCTCAAAGATCAACAAACCTGAGACATGCCACCCATAGAGAAGCCATCCCTATATGTTGGGCTTGGCCCCTGGACTGTCATCTGCCAAAATTAAATGGAGTCCAAGGTTATAGGCGGTGACTTGGTATAGAGAAACATAACAATAGGGTAAAAGAACACTAACATTAGACACATAGCCAGGTTGAGATAAAGGTCCACCCACAGATGGTTGGCTGTTTGGATTTTCCAATGGTGGAAAATTGAAACTAGACCCAAGACTTCCAATAGGCTGCTGAGAACCTTGCTGGTGAGAAAGATGGCTGCCAATAGGGGTGCCAGGGCTCCCACGCCCAGCCCCAAATCCTCTGCTTCCAGGTTGTGGAACATGAGGAGTTCCAACAGGTCCATGCACAGTACCGCGACTGGGAATTGCATATGGTTGAGAAGGTGGTGCACCATGATAAGGCGGGAGGGGAACCCGAGGCATGGGATAACCGGCAGGGTGCAATCCTGCTTTATGTGTACCGTTCGGAGGGCCAGGAGGCATATAAGAACCTGCTTAGAGGAAAATAGTCATTAGTAAATGTATCTGTCTCCATTCAAAATTTTAAGAAACTTCAGTTCAGAACTAGTTGGAAAACAAAAGCATAGAGTAGCTAAAAAACCTATCTTGTCCGCACAAGACAATGAGATCAGAATAGCAATACTCAAATTCAGCTAATCATGTAAATAAATAATGTATACCACAAGCAACAAAAAACTCACACTAGCTACCTAGGGAAAAAAATTCCCACCAGTCTAAAAAGAAATTTGTGGCCAAGCGCCAGGAGGCATCACAGCACTATGCAGTCATTGGACTTAAGAAACAAATATAAACCTTGCTTACCCCTTAAACGACCTCCCCTCCTATCGTTCGTACTTGCTGTGCCAGTGGATCCAAAACCATCATTAGGGATGATTCCCGGTCCACCACCAAAGTAAAGTCTACGGTCATTATAAATCTGTGATACCATTGTAAATTATAAATATTAGAACTCCCCAAATATAAAGAAAAGCATCAAATTACAAAGAAAGACCAAAACACACAATCAGCTACAAAAGCTCATCCAATCACACACCTTTTTAGGCTTTTGAAACTGAACCATACTTTGCTTCAAGTTGTTGAGTGGCCCTTCCACCAGGCACTCATTCTCCTGAAGAACAGAACCACAGGAGGTATGATCAAATGGCTCAACGTAAAAAGAGTCAAGACAAAGCTGAAACTAGCCCCAGAAAGACCACCAACATACAAACTGAATACACATAGGCAAAGGCAAAAAGAAAATAAACAACAAAAACAAAAAAGCTAAAAAATATATATATATTTAAAATGCAGACAACATTTGAAGCCCAACACCACATCAGAACAAAAGAAGATCTATTCTCAGAACCAGATATGAAAAGAAATACCTTGTAATGTGTCAACAAGCTATTCCAGAGAGGTTGTTTACTAAGTACTTTCGGATTTCCCAAGATAACAATGCCATAGCGGGCACGAGTAAGAGCAACATTAAGCCTTCGTGGGTCGTTAAGGAATCCAATACCCTGTTTCCAGAGATGAGCACAGAGATAAGTTACTGGAAGTGTCGATGCAAAAAGGAATACATATCTATAACAAACATTTCCTAGGACTTGCAAGAACTATATTACCAAGACTACAAATACAAACAGCAACCGAATCTAAGAACTTACTTGATGCTCGTTGCTTCTCACACAAGATAATATAATATAATCTTTCTCCCTTCCTTGGAATGAATCCACACTTGCAACCTGAGATGAAAAAGTATCATCCATCTGTTTTCATGGAGAAACTTGAGCATCTCCCAAAATGTAAATTGTACTTTTATTACCTCAATCTCTTTATATAGTTGCTGCCTTAAAGAACCGTTCCTTGACATATAGTTGACTATATATGCACGCTGACCCTCATAAGGTGTTATAACCCCGATCTACAAGAGCCCAAAAAACCATCAACATGATGATCACAAGTGAAGTTACAGCAATCTGTGAAGGACTTTTCTTTACCTGAGCGGGTACAACACCACTTTTCAGGAATGTAGTCACAATTTTTTCGACATTAGCAGCTTCAGTCCTATTTAAAAATGATGTACCGCTAGCACTGATCTCCTCTTGTCCCATCTGTACAATTACAAAAAAGGGGGGAGCATTAAAAGAGGAATACAATCACAGGGAAAAACAACTTAATGTGAGTTCTGACCGATCACAATCCTGAAGACAGATGTAAGTAAGCAAACTTACCTGAACATAAAAGAACATGGGTCGATTTGGCACAGGCCAAGGAAAATCAATGCCAGATGATTGCCTCTCATTGATGGTCACTCCATTTTGAAGGGTGCCTTCGTAAAAGCTATTAGATGGGAATTCTGAAAGGGCCGGATGCATACGATATTGAACCTGAAAATAGCAACAATTTTAGTATCAAATATATGCGAGATGTAAAACAGGAATCTGGTAGTTTTGAAGCCCCCGATGACTATCCCCCATTTGAAACAAAAACAAGCAAAAATGCCACATACGTAGAAAGGTGAAAGACTATAATTGTCAAGATTAACTTAAAAACCAGTCTAATGCATTTCAATCATCGGTAGTATAACGAACAGGAACTCAAACCGGAAAGAGTACAAATCTTGACAACCAAATCAACTCAGAACTACCACTTGAGAGAGAATAAATCCACACATCATGACAATGACATCAGGGACAATACCTGCAATCTTATTGGTTTCACACCAAGTAGAACAAGACGCTCAAAGAGAGATTGAGCTAAACCCGCCCGAGCAGCTTTCTTGCACATAATAACAGGACCAAGCTGGCAGTGGTCGCCCACGAGAACCACCTAAAACATCTCCTGTCAGAATAAAAGCAAAACAACACTGGGCAAATGAGTCGATGGAAAACTTAATACCTGCTTCACACCAAGAACCAGAGGGATAAGACACTCGGGCTCAGTTGCTTGAGTGGACTCATCAATTAGCACCTAAAGAAGAAAGGAAAAAGATGTTTTTCAGTGGAGAATGAGATAAGAAAAGAACTGTGTAAAATGGGAATAAAGAACTTCAGACAGCATAGTAATACAGAACAAAATCCTTTCATGCAACCCACCTGACGGAATCTAAAATTAGCTAGTCGAGGATCTCCCGCACCAACACAAGTACAACAAATGACATCAGCACTCTGAGAAATCTCCCTCTCTGTTGCCCTCTTTAAAGCCTTGTACTTCTTTTCATCACTGCTGGACAGCTCTCCTGCAAATTTCAGACAACAATATTGATCAGGAAGAATTGAAGTTGAAATTACCAAAAAACAACAAATGCATGTTACTGAAATTTTATCCATCCAATTTCAGAAAAGTCCAAGAAGCCAGACTCTATATTCTGCTGAATACAAAACTTACTCTAAGTCCATAAGAACGACTCAAAAGGCCAAGTCGATATTTAACCCATCAAATAGAAAATAGTATGAATTTTAAGACATGGGAAAGATGGGCCTCAAGTATCAATAATTAAAACGATAAAGGTGGGCCTCAGGTTATATTTCATTTCCTATTTCTCTTTTGCAAATCAAAGAAACAGATAAAGGTGGGCCTCGAGTATCAATTATTAAAAAGATTGAACCATTAAAAATAAAGAAGCAGCCAGTTACTGTTCTACCATAAGCAAACATATGTAAAACCCACTATCATCTTCAGATAAAAAAATTTGAAAGAACATGAGCATGTTAAAAGGAGATTAAACACAACTCACAAAACACGATTCACAATAAAGATCCAAATACATCAAAATCAACAAGCATGCAAGAGCAAAAGCAAACAAAGATCCACCTTGTTCGTCTTTTAGTTGCTGTAACTTGTGCAATTCACTCTTTTCTGAGGTATCAAGATGCCGAACCTAAAAGGACAAAGTGAATGATGCATGAAGTTCCAGAAAAAAGATATATCTTTGAAGCAAATTAAAGCAAAAAATCTATGCTAGAAAAAACATACCTGATAGTGAAGAGTTAAATGTTCAACAGGCGAACTAACGGCTTCCCTCGACTTAGCACAGAGCCTGACAACCTGATGGCAATTAATTTGAATGAAATGAGGATTAAAAATTCAATCAGAACTACTTTCCCTATCTCACAAAACTAAAAATGCCAGAACATGTATGTTGTCTCAACGGTAGAACCAAATGCATCATCTTTCTTCTTACCTTTAATCCAGTTGCACTTATCTTTTCAGCCAGTTGGTCTACAGCAACATTACTTGGAGCACATACTAAAACCTATCAAAGGAGCAATACCAGAAATTAACATTCCCACACTTAAACAAGTTGCATACCAAAAATCCAGCGATCAAAAATTACCTGTCCTTGACCTTGTTTGGCCATATGATACACAATGGCAGCTGAGGTAACAGTTTTCCCTGTTCCAGGTGGCCCTTGAATGAGACTTATTGGCTTTTGTAGAACACTTTTAACAGCAAAAACCTACAATTGGCAAAGACGTGACAGTGGTTACTTATTGTGCTTTCAAGAAACATAAAAATCCTTAAATTTGTGAAGCATAAACCCAAAGTTGTCAACACGTGTTTCCAACTATAAGACAAACTTATAAACAACATTCTTCTAATAACCTTCCCCCTCCTAAAACCCCACTGCTTTCACTTATCTAATGCAAAAGCAACTAAACAGGTGCCAACGACCATGACACGTTAGAATTCTCGCGCCATGTCCGCTACATTCATTAGACAGCTGAAGCTTAAAATATTTAATCACATAAAGGGTCTGTTTGGTATCAGGAATTTATCGGTCATAAGTTAATAATTTAAGAGATTTTAAGTCTCAGGAGTTTGACGAAGCACTTGCTTCCTGAACAGGAGTTGGAATCAGAAAAATCATCCACATATATATATTTTCAGAGAAAAGTGGTAAAATGGCCTTAATTCACTATTTTCTGTCATACTAGATAATTTACTTTCGAGAACTTTTTCTAGCTTTGTTTGTGAATTACACGTTAATTTTACAGGTTCCATCTGGTTACTTATTTTATGGATATATACTTGACTAAAACAGGTTTAAAAGAGAAAGATACAACAAAGGGAGTTTTTTCTCGTCACTGCCAGTTCATTATACCAAAAGTTAGACTCTTAATCTCATTAGGTCAGAAATATAACAATCATAAATCACTTTCAGCAAATCAACAATGGGGGAATGTGATGCAGTAAAACCAAAAAACTATGGTGATAGAATTTGAACACTAAGGAATACAACCACTACATTTGCAAGACAACTTGACTGATAAGCCTTTTGATTAACACATTAAGATTTGAGCAGCTGTAATTAAGCATTCAAAGTTAAGCATAACAACTCCTGAACTAATGTGATAAGCACGTTCTCTTTTCATGGTTAATTGGGCACTGCCCCTCCCCCCAAAGGGAAAAAAAAACAAACACATCCTACGAAATAACGGAATAAAAACTCGTAAAACTAAATACAAGTCCATTGCCAACGATGCTTTTGAGCAAAAGAGGAGGAAAAATGTAAGTACAACATTGAGGAAGCTACCTGAGATGCATTTAGTTCAGGAAGACCTGGTGCTCCAAACCTACGGGGTAATGTATTACGTACCAACTGCATCTCAACTTCATGGCCTAACAAGTGATGATAGATATACCTGTGAATACAGACAAATTAGAACTCCAAAAAACAAGGGCACAAAGTACAATAGAGATTCTCAACCATAATTCTGGCTGAACAAATATTTTGTCCAGCAACTATATCCAGGTTCAACGTATCACAGACTTATCCTATTTTTTTTTAACAATTAACTGTTTGACATCGGAAATCAAAGTCCAAATACACTAGCATTCAAGATATGCACAAATGACTTCTCCTTAATGCAACTAGCAATCACAGATTCAAGATGTCTAATTACAGGTTAAGGTTTAAATATATAATCATATAAAGTCTAAACACCATCGGGAGAAAAACTTACAGTACCCGAAAAGGCAAAAACATCAAGTATCCATGAAAAACCAACAACTTGTTACTACAGGTATAAAGCACACATGGATACCAATTCCAATCCACAATATCTAAGGAAAATTTCAAACACCAGTCAGAAAGCAGATTGTAAAAGCCACCTACCCACTAACACTAGTTTCATCCACAGCAAATGTTTTCATTGCTCCCTGCATCCTATCAAAACTTGTGCTCTTCCAAACAAAATCAACACTGAAGCCATGGTTTACATCCACAGGGACTCCCTATATCAGAGAAAAGTAGGTTCAATCAACAAAGCTTATGATACAAACTTCTTTCCTTTCCCCGGAAAAAGTAGATAAATAAGTTTCTGTTATTAGGTATATCCAATTAATGGGAGAAGCTACCTGACTAGCACGAAGCTCAAGAGCAACCTCCTCCTGTGCAGTCAACTTTATCTGCATGAAAAAGTTGAACCATCATACATGTCACATAAAGATTTAAAATTATTACATCTCATTAAAAATCTTTCCCGAAAAATCTGAACGATCTGCGTTGCGAAACACTAAAAGATCACCAAAGTGCACAAGATGATGTTTACTATTTATTTAGTTCCAACAGCTAAACAGGTAAATAATCCTACCACATGTCCCACTGACTGCCAAGCTGGATGCGCTGCATCTCCCGAATAACGAAGTCTCAACTCATCGCCGGGCACAAGGCGCAATTCATTATCTTCCTGTACAGTTTATTGAACAGATTAGGTGGAGTTGGGAAGATCATCCCTAAAGAGCCACTCATCGTAAAGCAAGCAGAAAAAATGGAAAGCTGGCGATTAACTCTACAAAATTTACTTAGGAAATTGAAAGATAAGGAACAATGACTACCTTCGGAAAGACAAAGTAAGCAATCCGCTTCTTATTGAGGCCAATATCCCACCGAATAGAAAGACTATCTTTGCTCTGAGACTCTTTCATCATCTAACAAAACCAAAAAGTTCCTACTGTCAAAAGACATTTTTGGGTTTACAGGCAGTAGGACCTCAGCATTTATAACATTAAAATTGTACCTTGTCATAATCAGCCTCAAGCTTGATCAATGGGGCAAAGACATTTTGATACTGAAAAAAAAAATAACAGTTAGAATAAATACAAGGATCTTTCACCCAAAAAAAAAACAAGGATAAAAAAATAATAATAAAAAAGATCAACAGCAGAATTCTTCTGTTCACAAAAAAAAATATATGCAAGAACGAAATAAACTAGAACCATAATATCAAACATAAACCACCTGATATGCATCTTCATACTTCACAGCCACAGGCTGGGGTTCATCATCCACACCGGGCTTCTCAAGATCTTCCAAGGTGGCATCAGGATTAGTTTTCCATAGCTCTTCTACCTTGTTTATTTGTTGTGCACTTATCTGGCGTGCCCTCAACTGCTCCTGTTCTGAAGGAACCTACAAAACCAAATTGGCAAACTCAGAGATTGAAAACACCAGGAATATGGCAAGAAAATTCCCAATTGTTATACTCTGCACAATGATCCACCAATCGTTGTGCAGCCCAATGTTTAGTGGTCACTCAGCAGCCAACAGATGGCGACCAGTGACAGATTTTAAGGAAGTCAATAAAATCTAGCCAGATTCTAGCCAGCAGCAACTTGCATTGGAGCGGAAATCCGCTGAGATAGACTCCGGCCAAGTTGCAGGAATTCTCACAGTGCGCAGCAGTGGCCATAACAGAGAACCCAGCAAAAGAAAGAAGAGGAAAATCTAGAGGAAAACTGGGTGCTCAATATAAACTGTAGTGAGTTCCAGGAGGAAGAAGGTTCACCTTAACAAGCCATTGCAAAAAACACCTATCATCAATAAGAGGGCACCATTGGCTAAGGTCCCAGTTCATATCCTTCAGAGCATTAACGCTCAGACAGGGTTCCCTGCAGAGGAGTACAACTACACTTTCTGTCTTGGCAGATATAAATCCAAGAAGAAATACATTTCGGCAACCACAATTATAACATTCCAATATTGTTTCGCCAAGTGGACTGTCCTTATGAAGGCATACTTCCTTGTGCTTAGCTCGCACCTACCATGAAAAGAAAAGTTCAGCTATAAGGGCATTAAACCAAGACAATTACATAATCATCTGTGACTTGACACCACATCTTCTGTGAACCATACATTAAAATTAGCACCATCTTCCGTGAACCATAGAGTAAAATTTGCCCATTGATAGACAAAACATGACCATAATTAGAGTGAAAGGTAACACTGCACAACTGATTCCAAAAAAATCTAACAAAATACATTCATTGTTATAGGCTAGCAAGACCAATTAGGTTCGTGAGCATACATATACATTTTCATTTTTCCCATTACAGATGAAAATTTCAAGTCCACCAAACATTAGAACCATGAGGTCAAAAAACAACATAACTCTCTACACATCTAATACTGGTGTCAATCTTCATGCAACAATAATATAGTCACGGAAACCGTGATTTACCAACTTTACTCGTAGCTCGTAACAAGACTTGTGGCAAAGCTTGAAACAATGTTGCAGATTCAGATTAAGAAAAATTTTCACTCCACCTACTATTCAGTCTTGTTTTGCGTATATCACAGATTCCTAATAAGTACTTCCAATTATCACTTTTTTCCAACCATAGAGTTTTCTGGGTTCAAAAAACAATTCGGACAAACTTCCATATCACGATCCAATTAGGCTCCTGAGCGTACATATACATTTTCATTTTTCCCATTACAGATGAAAATTTCAAGTCCACCAAACATTATAACCACGAGGTCAAAAAAACAAACCCCAATATAACTCTCTACACATCTAATACTGGTGTCAATCTTCATACAACAATAATATAGTCACGGAAACCGTGATTTACCAACTTTACTAGTAGCTCGTAACAAAACTTGTGGCAAAGCTTGAAACAATGTTGCAGATTCAGATTAAGAAAAATTTTCACTCCACCTACTATTCAGTCTTGTTTGCGCATATCACAGATTCCTAATAAGTACTTCCAATTATCACTTTTTTCCAACCATAGAGTTTTCTGGGTTCAAAAAACAGTTGGGACAAACTTCCATATCACGATCCAATACAATGATCCAATTCCTGTACATATTAAGCTCATTCTTTTCCTGAATAATTTCTTTATTGCACTTGAATAATGCAGTGGCAGCACATTCTAAACAATATTGAACCTCAAGATCAATTCAGTTTTTCCATAGTAGTGTGACGATGATTAAATAATGTAACAAATAGAGACTTATTGGGAAAAAACTTATTGTAAAAATATTGGATTTGATCAATAGCCATTGATCCTTGCTTCCGAAATAATCAAACACCTACGGGTAAAGCCCAAGCATGGAATCCCAGAAACAAAACCCTAAAACAAATTCATTGAAAAACTTCCAACTCAAAACAACCAGCCCTAGCATACATGAACTGATAGGTATTAAATAAAGATAGACCACCAAAAACAGAAACAAAAAAGTTACTTAGAAATTCAATTGTTGACTAACCAGATGATTCACAATATGCGAGCCAGAAGTATTGCCCCTTGAATTACAGAACCATTTCCTACACGAAGGCACATTGCAGCGCACAACACAAGCTGGGTTGGTGACACCACAATACTTACAAGCATGCTCCACAGAAAAATCCCCTTTTCCGTATTCAAAACCCTCATCATCCCCGGTCTCCTCAAAATTCAAGCCACTCATCCCTGCCGCCAATGCATCCACAGCAGCCGCCTGACTACTACCACCAGAGCCACCATTATTACTGACACCGCCATTGTTCCCACCACTTCCGCCGCGGGATTTGTGGGACGGAGACGCATCAGAGGACGACGCCCCTCGTTCAGGGACAGCAGCCGATGTTCCCGCTTCAACGGAAGACGATGGGACGATAGAATCGGAAGGGGTAGGCCATACTGTGGATCGAATCGGCTGTGATAGCTCTGGAAACTCCGGGTAATCGAAATCCTCGCCTTGAGTGTTGAATTCGAGGAATGTGTAGGCGTCGTTCCCTGTGTCCGGCTGCGACGCTGTTTCGTACAAATTGCTCGCCTGAGAATCCATGATTTCACTAACTAACTAACCCAAAAAAATAAAAAAATTCAAGCTTATGGGAAAGGAAACTTTTAAATTAGGGCTAGGGTTTAAGATTAACGCATAATTTTGAGAATATAATTTGTGGAATTGACGTTAGGGTTTGAGGTTGGGGGGTTAGGGCTCCAGAAGAGAGGAAGAAGGAGAAAGAGCACCTAAACTATTCGTACTGGAAGACGAGCGGGGGGCCGTTATATCTCTCATACGCGAAACGGAGTCAGACAGATAATAATGACGTCATGCAACTAATACAACGGCAATAGAAGGGAAACTTAAAATATATATATATATATATATATATATATATAAATCAATGAATTTACTTTATTCCGACAACTTCTATATAATACACAATATTACATCCCAAAATAATACAGTAAAAATTTTTTCCAAATTTAAGAGGGGAAAAAGAGTTGACAACTTTTTGCTAATATAACAGTTCAAGAGCTAGATAACAGTACAATATTTGTTTCAGTTTTTTTAATTAAGAATTAACAGTTGATAAAATTTCAAAATTTTTAATCGTTTTATGAGTGAAAAACATACAATTAATTTATATATTTTATTGGAAGATGCAATAATTTTGTTTGGTTTTTTTTATATTTTTAAAATCCACCGGAGTGGACCCACTTAAATTTGGATAAAACCCTTATTTATAAACCCCTTGGTGGAAATCGAATCCTAGTCTATTACCAGGAAAGTAAAAAGTTATTTATGTAATATTTTAAATAAAATAATAATATTTTACACGGCCACCCGAGCAGTTGGTTGTGGATAAAAATTGTGTAAAAATAATATTTAAAATAAATTTTAAAAAGTAAATTAAAAAGTTATTTGGATAATAATGAGTTTTGTGCTTGAGAGGTTCTTTAAGAGGTAAAATGAGACAAAAGGCAAACTAAAAGGTTGGCCAAACAACCCCTTAGTAGTTTTTCTTGAGTAATCTGCTCAGACGTTTTTTGAGTAATTTGATCTTTAACATTAAAAATTCACTGATTTGGTCCATTACATTTATACTATCTACTAATTTGATAATTTTTTTTTTTTGATACTACACATTTGAGAGTTCTTAGGTTGACCATTTATGGGTTAATTCAACAGGAGTATTTTTCGGTAGTACCTAATTTAATTTTTCAAAAATATTTTTGATTACAACAATATCAAAAATATTACTTGATTTATAATTAATAAAAATAAAAAATATTTTTTTAAAAAAAAATCCAATTTCCTCTTTTTTTTTTAATTAACTCATACACCTCACCTCTTATTATCATTCTTCTTTCACTTTTATCTCCTCATTGCCACGGTCAACAGTCGAATTCCTATTCCCAACTTCCTTCCTATAACTCATCTAAAAAGTCTCAATTTATCATGAATCCTAATTTTAAAATCGGGCAAATAGCTAGATGATATGGAAGGGAGAAAACAAAAAGAAAGAGAAAAATTTACATTGAAGGGGAATAAAAATGAAAGAAGATGGACCATTAGAGGTGGGGTTCATTCGTTAAGAAAAAGAGGAAATCATATTTTTTTAGTTTTTTTTTTTAATTTTTTATTTTTTAAAATTTATTAAAATATCTTAAATAATTATAAATTAATATAATAGTTTTAACATTATTTTAATCATTTTTTTTTAGATTTTTAAAAAATTAAAATTAATCATTATTAAAAATACCCCTATTGACTTGAAAAAAAAGGGTCAACTCAAGATCCCCAAAGTTAAGTGCCAATAAAAAGTAAAAATGACAAAATTATTGAAAAACATAAACGTGGCAAACAGTAAATTGTTAGTGTTAACAGAGTTTTTGGACAAACGTGAAAAACTATTTGAGCAGATTATGGGTTTGTTTGGACAATATTTTGTTTTAGTTTTTGTTTTAATTTTTGATTTGGGTTTGAGATGTGATTTAAAATGTGGTTTGAGATAAAATTTTAAAAATTATTTGAGTAATATTTTAAATAAAATAATTATATTTTTAGAGCACCACCGCTGCCGCCCCGCGACCCGCCGGCCGGATTCCGGCTAGATTCCGGTGGGCGGTTCGGCGATGGCCGGTGCCGGCGAAGGTGGTCCGGTGATTGAGGATAAAAATTATGTAAAAATAATATTTGAAATAAAATTTAAAAAGTAAATTAAAAAGTTGTTTGGATAGTATTAGATTTTGTGTTTGAGAGGTGTTTTAAGAGGTAAAATGAGACAAAAAGAAAAAAAAAAAGTGACTTGTCTAAACAACACCATATTTTTCAATATCGATTCTCTAATCTGTCAAATTTTTAGGTATCTTGGTATTACGTTGTTGAACTAATTAAAAATTTTCTAAAATGATGACATAAATTGCTTTGTTTTGTTTAATAATCATAATCACTTAATGCGGTCATTTAATCTTTTTGCTTTAATTAAGTGATTATCAAACTTATTTTCATTAACTTTGAAAGAAAAGTTATTTTACCTTATTATACCTTTTTCTAGGGGGAAAAGAAAAAACAAAATTGACTTCCTTCTAAGTGAGTTGTCGATAATACCCTATCATAAGTTTTAACCAGAAAAGACGCAGTGGAACGGCTGGCATAGATTAGCCAGTAATTCTTTATTTTTTACCGTAGTTGAATGCTAATGCAGTAGTACCATTTTAATTCCTCTTCCTCTTAAACCCTAAACCCTTTGTCAGAAAGGACCTCCAGCTCAAACATTGTGCTCATCAATGGCTGCTTCAACATCAATGAAGAAGAACTACCGTTGCCACCAATCTCTGAAGCAATTCTACTCCGGCGGCCCTTATGCAGTCTCCTCCGACGGTTCTTTCATAGTCTGCGCTTGCGATGACACCATTAAGATCGTTGATTCATCTAACGCCGCCATAAAGTCATCCATTGAAGGTGACACCGAGCCCGTCACCGCCCTCGTTTTAAGCCCCCTAAAGAACAATGCTTTCCTATTCTCCGCCAGCCATAGTCGTCAAATTCGGGTCTGGGACCTTGCCACTCTCAAATGTATCCGTTCTTGGAAGGTGAGTTGGTTTAAGTTTTCCAAAAGGGTTCGGAATTTTATTGTTTTTTTTTTCAGGAGGGTTTAATGGTGGAGTAATGTGTTTTATTTTGATTATTCTGCAGGGACATGAAGGGCCAGTCATGAGCATGGCTTGTCATGGGTCGGGCGGGTTGCTGGCAACAGCCGGGTCGGATGGGAAAGTACTAGTATGGGATGTGGATGGTGGATTTTGTACACATTTCTTCAAGGGTCATAAGGGAGTTGTTAATTTCGTTATGTTCCATCCTGACCCCAATAGACTGCTTGTAAGTTTTCCCTTGATTTGTTTTGTTGATTTTCTCTACCTTGGTTTTATCTAGTGAAATGTAAAACAAACCATTACAATGGTGGTTTTGATAGTTGGAGACATATTCTGGGGTTATGCTGCCAGTAATGTTAGATCAAATTAGTGCATGTATCTTTTCAAATGGTCGGAGCAAAAGTCACGATGTTTTCTTTTTGGTTATTGTAAGAGTGAGGGGGAGGAAACTTCCAAACAGATCCATACAACATTTTATAATTTTGTTAATTGCCGTTGTATCACTTATTTTTAGTAATCGTATCGTACTGGGTGGCATTAAGTTTGGAAACAAAAGTAGCCAGTTGAACTGTTTGTTTGTCTACCTGTTGCATAAGATTTAGCTAGTGTTTTCTGTGGATGCAGAAAGTCAATTTTGTTGATTTTTTTTAAAGGTTTTTGTTCGAGTATTGTAAGTTATTCTTTCAGTGAGATGTGTTCATGCTGTGTTGGCAATAGCTTTTCTCAGGCAGTGATGACACTACCATCAGAATTTGGGATCTTACACGCAAGAAATGTCTTGCGACGCTCGAAAAACATTTATCTGCTGTGACATCGCTGGCTATTACCGAAGATGGGGGTACCTTGCTCAGCTCAGGAAGAGATAAGGTATGCTTTTTAAACGACTAAAGAAAAGAGCCTCTTTTTTTTTTTCTATTGAAAGTGATACAGTGAATAAGGTTGTTTATCTGCGTGGGGCATGAGATATTTACTAAACAGTGAAAAAATTTGCTTGAATTCTTTTTTGGGGGTCAATATAATGGTCACCTTTAGTAGTTTTGAGTAACTCTTAATACTGTTTGCTGATATTATACTTCAGATTGTGAACTTGTGGAGCTTGCATGACTTCAGCTGCAAAGTTACTGTCCCTACGTATGAGGCACTTGAAGCCGTTTGTGCGATTAGTTCCCACTCTCCGTTTGCTTCATGTCTAGCTTCAATGATGGAGGAGAGAGGAAAGAGATTTAAGGATTCAAATTCTATTCATTTTATCACTGTTGGTGAACGTGGCATGGTGCGGATATGGAATTCTGATGGGTGCGTTATAAATTATGTTCAATGTTCAATTGAGTGCATACATATGGGCCTGATCTTTAGTTGTAGTTTCAACTTGTTCTCCACTTGAGATAAATTTCAGCCTGCAAAAAGTGTCATGTTAAAATGAAATCCTGTTCTTCTGCTTCTGTTTTTAAAAACAACTTTTCTGTAATCATGATCTTTTTGGTAAAGGCTCTGTAGTTGATATGCGGTTATGTACGAACTGTAAAAAGATTTGTAAAAATGATGTTTTACATTTACACTTTGTGACTAGTCTTTTTTGTGAATTTATTCTGCATGCATAGGCTCTAAGATATGTATTTTGTCTTCTGTTACCTCTTGTAATCTTTGTTTTGCTAACAAAGTGAAGTTACTGTTGAAAAAACAGTGCATAGAATTCTGGTGTACATCCTTTCTTATCAAGATTGCATATGTATGTCAGTGTTTGATTGATAACATGAAATGGACATGGATGCAGTGCAGTTTGCCTCTTTGAGCAGAAAACTTCGGATGTTGTGGTGAGCTCAGAAAATGATAACGCGAAAAGAGGCTTCCATTCCGCAATAATGTTACCCTCAAATCAGGGATTGCTATGTACAGCTGACCAGCAATTTTTCTTCTATACTCCAGTGGTAGATCCTGAAGGCAGCTTTAAGATAATTCTTAGCAAAAGGCTCATAGGGTACAATGAAGAGATAACAGACATGAAATTTTTGGGTGAGGAAGAACAATTCCTTGCCGTCTCTTCAAGTGTTGAACATGTAAGTTGCTAGCTATGTATTGGATTCATACAATTTTTTTTTTTGGAGAATTATGTCTGTATTTGTCACCCATCTGAAACATTCAGTTTTACAATTTTCTATAGAAACCTAAACATGTACAGAAAGAGTCAACCTTAAATGCGGGAAAAGTTGTCCATAAACTATGTTGAATTTTTTTGGTCTTTTAGTTATGGCATGTGGATGGTTGGGTAAGCATTGGGCCGTTGAGGTCCAACGAGCGCAACTCAGCCTTCTGTTTCTCTTAATTAATTAAAGGATGTTTCTACGATAGTCTCGTGGTCCGGGTCTTATTGCTGCGTTGAGGCTTCTCTTCAACTAATAAGTCTTATTAGCCTTCTGAATGATGTCTTGCATCTTCTAGGAAAAGTTAATATGGAGATTTTGCTGGCTTCTTTGGTTAGATTTCTGAGTCAAATACGACCGACCCTATTACCACTTAGCAGATTAGAGGGCTACTTTTAGAATCAATGTTGAGGAGAAAATAGTCTTTGGAATCACATGAGTAACTCTTCACAAAAGATGCAGTTGAGAAAGTGTTTTTTCTTGTCAGTGATTTATTGTTTGGAGAACTGTTAGTACACTTTGTAAATTGCCTCGTTCCCATATACCACTCTTTATTAGTGTTTCTCTTTTCTCGGTGTTTCGGTATATTAATTCTAAATTATGTCAGGGATTTCAATGTATTTCATCATGAACTAAAATTTTAATTGTTCTCTACACGTTTCTATCAATGTCCTTTGCTGTAGCTTTCTTTGCAACTATGTAACCTAACATGCCTTTATGATAATGATTGGATTCTATTCACTGTTCTTATACATACAAGAGGTGGAAAATTAACATGATAAAAGAGTAAGCATGCTCAACTGTGGTTTTCTTTTTCCATTATTGCAGGTACGGGTGTATGATCTTGCATCGATGTCATGTGCGTATGTACTTTCCGGTCATTTGGATGTTGTTTTATGCCTTGATACCTGCGTCACTGATTCTGGGAGAACACTTATTGTAACTGGAAGCAAAGATAGCAGGGTAAGACTTTCTTACAGTTCCTTTTGGCAATGGGTCAGAAAGCAGTAAATGTCGTCTTTTTGTTTTTATTATTAGAAATTCACTTTCAAGGTCGTTCATTTTTTCTTTTGGATGACGTCTCTGTAAAACTTATTTCTGTTTCTATTTTCTTATTTTTTGATGAAAAGATATAGGAAATGCTTAAATTTGATTCCATTGCTTTCTCAGGTTAGAGTTTGGGATGCTGGAACACAATGTTGTATTGGAGTTGGCAAAGGTGTCATAGACGACCAACATGGAGAAGCTTTTGGTGCCGTTGCATTTTCGAGAAAACAACGGAACTTTTTCGTTAGTGGCAGCAGGTAAAATGTTGGCTGCTTGCAATCTCTGCAGTCAACAAAATCTCTCCTTTCAACTCTTGACAGTAGCTCATTTGTTCGTGCATCTGTAAAGCTTGTACATATAAGTTGCCAATGCCTCATAGCTATTGTAATAGAAAATGTGAAAAATTTTCATTTATTGTTGCTCTGCATCTTGCTGATTGTATTTCCTCACTGAATCTTCTTATTGCTGATTTATTCTGGCACCAGAAAGAAGTGCTATTTGTTCTTACTTTGAGCATGTTGACAAACAATTTTTTCTTTGTCATTTCCAGTTTACTTACACTAAAAGTGTGGAGTTTAGATGGTCTTGCGGACAGTGCTGAAGATGTTCCTAATTTGAAATCAAAAAGAATAGTTCCTAAAGTGCATGCTAAGGATATAAACTGCCTTGCAATTGCTCCAGACGATAGTCTTGTTTGCAGTGGCTCACAGGTGAGCATTGTGCATTTACATAGAGCTTGTTATGTAACATTGTAATTAACTGCTTGGCTTATTTTGTACTTACTATTTAACCCATCATGCTCGCTTCATGGTTAGGATCGCACTGCTTGCGTAAGGACGCTCCCTGATCTAGACAAAGTAGTGGAGCTTAAAGGGCATAAAAGGGGAGTTTGGTCTGTGGAGTTTTCTCCAGTTGATCGGATTGTTATAACAGCTTCTGGAGATAAAACAATCAAAATATGGGCTATATCTGATGGTTCGTGTCTGAAAACATTTGAAGGGCATACTTCAAGTGTTATTAGAGCATCATTTGTCACTCGTGGAGCACAGTTTGTCTCCTGCGGTAACTTGTGCTTAGCATCGAAATGTTGATTCTATACCATAACTCTTCTACTTGTAAAAATTGAAAAAGGTCTTGCCTTTTGTAGGTGCTGATGGTTTAGTGAAGCTATGGACAGTTAATACAAATGAATGTATTGCCACCTATGACTCCCATGATGACAAGGTGCTTAACGATTTTGACTCTTTCTATAGACTTTACCCGTACCCCTTTTTCTTTCTGGGACATGGCTATTAACCTCTTCATGTGTCTGGTTCTTTTATGTATGACGCGTTTCAGCCGTTTGAATGCACAGATTTTGTTAACCTTGTATATTGTTTTTGTCTTTGAATCGGTTTGCTGCTTTCCACCAATAGTTAGCTCTGACATGATTATATTATACTGTTCTTTTTTGCCTCTTTTACATGTCATGTACTTTCTACGAATATTACAGTTTATAACAATCTCTTGTCTTGATTAATCATGAACATGGACCTTTACACTTGTCAAGTTAGGTTAGTTCTGCTTGTGTTATTTGCTCAATAGTTCTTGATCTGCAGATATGGGCCTTGGCCATTGGAAAGAAAACTGAAATGCTAGCTACAGGAGGCAGTGATGCTGTAATTAATTTGTGGCATGACTCGACATCTGCTGATAAAGAAGAAGAGTTTCGGAAAGAAGTAAGCTTTTTGCTTCATGCTTGATTTTCTCAGATGACAAATTGCACCATTAGAGTTTGTTTTATGTTAAAGCTTCTTAATAGGGGGCGTTAATAAATCATAAACTTGCAAGTGTGTCATTTGTACTTTGGAATAATCATAGTTTACCAGTTACATTGAAAGAGAGATTCCATAAACATTTATAAAGGTAGTGATGCTGTAGAGATTACAGTTTTGGGCCACGAAAACAAAGAAAAATTATGACCAACATAAATGAGAATGTGCAGTTGGGTCTTCATGACCTTTAAATTAGATAGGATTAGTAATGAAAGTGGGAGTACTACCAAATAGATTAGATGAGAAACTGAGAGGCTCAGAGGATGTCTTTGTATACCGCTACAAGCAGAGTATATAGGGTCGCTGGCTGAACTTAGAAGTAGTATCAAGGCTTAGGAAGAAACTGATATTAATAAATATATGATTCAAACCAGCCTAAATGAGAATATGTTACAAAACATGTTGGCAACTTATACTATATAGCTGATGTACAGTATATGTGAAATTATTGTAATGCAGGAGGAAGATGTGTTGAGAGGACAAGAGCTTGACAATGCAATTGTGGATGCTGATTATGTTAAAGCAATCCGAATTGCATTTGAGCTTCGCAGACCCCATAAGCTCTTTGAGTTGTTTGGGGATATCTGCAGGTAAACTTTCTGTTCCTGCAGCTCCTATTGTCGTTAGAATACCATGATATAAAATATAAATGCACACAAGTAATTTTGAATATTTGTCTTTGTCTATACATTTATACATATTTGGTTCTTTTGCAGGAAAAGAAGTGCTGAAGATCAGATTGTAAAAGCTCTCAATGGTCTTGTCAAAGAAGAACTCCCTCAACTTATTGAATACATACGAGAATGGAATACAAAGCCAAAGCTCTGCCATGTTGCCCATTTCGTGCTGTTCCAAATATTCAATATGCTTTCTCCGACTGAGATTGTTGAGGTAATGCTCTATGCCTTCTCAGTCATCCAAGATGCAGACTGAGTGAAACTTTTCATGGAGATCTCTGCTGTAATTGTTGCTTTTCATTTCTTCACCGGCTTTTTCCTTTTCATTCGTATCTTTCGATCTACAATTTTATAACAAATAAAATATACCAGTTTTTATGTGTCAACACCCTGATAAAAAAAAGTTATTTGGTGAATTATTATTTGTTTCCTTTATCCCAGTTTGTGATCTGAAGTGTACTGAAACCTCGTAAAGTGCCATTAATAACAAGTTGCTGTTTGTGGATTATTACAGATACGAGGCATTCGAGAGTTGCTTGAAGGACTAATTCCATATTCTCAAAGGCATTACAGCAGGATTGACAGGCTACAAAGAAGCACATTCCTTTTGGATTACACTTTGACAGGAATGTCGGTCATTGAGCCAGAAACAGTGGAAAGTGACACAAAAGAGAACAATGCTAAACGATCCAAAGATGAAGAGAACCCAACTCAGGCGGAGGGACAAGAGAATGGGGCGCTGGAAGAGGAGATGATGGCCTCTCAGAAGAAACGAAAATCACGGAAGCCTAAAGACGTGGCGTATAAGAAAGTAAAGAGTCCGACTACCAACACGTCCATACCATCTCAGGCATATTAAAAAAAAAAAAAAACCATTTAAACGCTTTGTTGTTTGTCATTCATTGTTGTCTTCATAGGCCGTTTTCCCAATCGATCTTCTGAGCTAGATGCCATGAACGATGAACCGTTTGGTCTGCAAATCTGGCATCAAAAGTTTTGTAATGTATGTATATTTAGGAATCAATCTAAGCTGACTCTCCGGTTGGGCGAACTATTTGTTACTGATATAGTAGTTTTAAAGAAAAATACTGCTGTATTTCTTGCTTTTACTCTTGTAAATTTTGTTTCAGGTCGGTATGACTTAAATTCTTTAAAAGAAGAAAAAAAAAAGGACGAAGAAAAACAGAATCCTAATAAGAATAGAACTTATGAGACCGAATCAAACTGGCACAAGGATGCCTTTCACCGACTCACCCCCCAACTATAAATACCCCGAGTATGCCCCAACTATAAACACCCCGAATATGTATAAAAGAGATATCAGTTTTTTCCATCTCTGACCAATTTTCTAGGAACCCTAAATTTGGAGAAAAACATCAGCGTAAGGATTATAATCTGTTATTAATACAGAGAATTTTATAAAGGATCGATCATGGCGGATTTGATAGTGAATCTCCCTAATCATCCCTTTGGAGTTGCCCCGACTCTTCCGAACGTAGATCTTTCTAAACACCCCTCTGGAATTGTTCCAACCCCTCAGAACGTGGTGTCGACTGTAAATCTGGGTTGCAAATTGGACCTGAAATCTATAGCATCACAAGCTAGGGATGCAAAATATGCTCCGGAGCGTTTCTGTGCGCTGAGCATGAAGATTGCCGACCCAAAAACCACAGCCCTAATCTTCGCTTCCGGGAAGATGGTTTGTACGGGAGCCAAGAGCGAGCATCAGTCGAAAGCGGCGGCGGAGAAGTTCGTTAGAATTATTCAGGAGCTTGGATTCCCGGAAGCCCAGTTCAGTGATTTCAAGATTCAGAACATTGTCTGTTCTTGCGACGTCAAATTCCCCATTAGGCTAGATGGACTTGCTAACTCGGAAGCTGGATCCTCGACGTATGAACCTGAACGGTTTCCTGGATTGACATATCGTATGAAACAACCCAAAGTTGTAGTGCGGATTTTCCAATCAGGCAAATTGGTCATCACTGGAGCAAAGACTAGGGATGAAATATATGCTGCGTTTGAGAAAATCTACCCTATTCTGACTCAGTTCAAATGGAAGAATCAGCCATGACCGAAAAAGTGGAGTTTCCAGCCGAAGAAGAATCTGCAATGATGGGAAACAGGAGTTTGGCGGGAAGAAGCAAATATTAAGCGTAAATTCTTCAAGGATAAGCTCAATTTGTGACATTGCCTTATCTTTTTTATTTTCTCTGTTATTATGGTTTGATTTTTAAGAAACCAAATCCAACTCTTCCAAACATTTGTCTATCTCAATCGAAGCCATTAATTGTCTGTACACGTTTCAAGTTGTTTACGCTAGAGGCAAATAGTAAACAGAATTACGTAAGAATGAAATTCTAGAATTATTTTTTTCTTTAAAGAATTATGGTATAAGCCTTCTGAAGAGCAAAAGACATTTGTCAGTCCCAAATCCACAACAATTTTAACCATCGACTGATTAAAGTAAAGGATTCTTCACCTACATATTTTAAATAGCACAAACCTGATTGACATTAATGGTTCAAAAACTACCAAAATCTGTAGAAAAAATAATACAAAGAACGGTACTACTGCTGAGAACTACAAATGTAACCATAATAAATATGGGTTAACCACTCCCTAAACTACAAACAATACTTGCAAGTTGCCATAGAGTTATACTACCCCTAGTAAAATGTGGAAATTATACCAGCTATACAATGCCGCACTCCCACCCCCTTCTTCCCACACCAAACAATCAGCAAAAAATTAGCCAGTTCCAGAAAAATATACATACAACGAGAGAAGAGATTCCCGAAAAGGTCAGCCAACAAGGAATAGAGCATTCGAAGCTTTACAGAAGTCAATTGAACTGTCTAAGATTTTCCTCATGGAACCGAAAAATATACTCGACCGATTCATCCAGATGTGGTCTGAAAGAGCTGCATGTGTACCACCAATTCTGAGTCCACAAGATTCACCACGCCCTTTTGGCTCTCAAGTGCTAGGCCACAAGGAGCTGAGCCGAGAAGCAAGTTTGGCACTCTTATAGTCATCTCTAAGTTGAATAAACCTGAAACCACATCCACGTACATTTAGTTACAGAATTACTCCGCACAGGCATTAATAATTGTGATGTTAAACATGTATAAATCTAGCGAACAGGCACTTCGTACATAAGAAACACACCATTAAAGAAAAGTCTAGCGAGTGATTTCCTGTTCATAAGAAAAAGACTATTTCACACTGCAATTACCTCTGTGCGTCCTTTTTAATACTTGGGGTTCCTTCAAATAGACTCGACAGGCTTTCAGGGGCAACAATAAAAACATTTGCCATTCTGTTGAGAGAAACAATATCAATTGAAGAACAAACAACTGAAATTAGAAGCAAATAATATGTTGATAAATCATCGTGAACTTACATGCCCAACAACTCAAATTTCTCATCAACTGAAGGAGCATTAAAACTGCGAACGAACTCTCCATACTCAGTTATATCACGCTTCAGACGAAGACCACCACTAAGAACACACATAAAAAAGATGTAAGAACTATGTTGGAAAACATACACAAAAAAAAAAAAAAAAAAACAAACAAAAAACATAGTGTAGCTCAAAGAATCTGGTTCATATTTAAGCATATTTCCCGGATTAGAAATGAAGAAGAGTAAATTTTCTTTTCTCCAGCGGAATTTTTCCTAGTGCTTCATAGCTCACTTTCACAGCAGAACATGAGAAACGTAAAGAAATTACCAGGTTCTGAAAATATTTCCCCTCTTGATTATAATAAAAATAATCAATTTTAAGTGTATTCCATGGATCAGAAATGATGAAGAGTAAGACTTTGATACTTTTCTTTTCACCAGCGGAGTACATCCCAGTTCTTCACAACATAATTTCAGAGCAGAAGATGAGAAGCGTAAAGAAGTTACCACAGGTTATGAATACATTTTCCCACTTGATTATCTAAGTATTTGTGCCAAAGAGTTTCAACATTACACTTTCAATAGATTATGATTGTATGCAATCTGATGTATGGCATGCTCTCTTCGGCACGTTATCAAAGAATGGAGGAAACAGTACACAATAGTTAAACCAACAAGAAAAGGAGAAAACTACAACCAATATTACAAACACAAACAGTTGGTAAAATGCTGGAGCAAATATTACCTAGGGTTGAAAGTAAACTTCTGCCAATGATTAAGAAGAACCTTGTGCAAGCGGTTCCCCTACATCAGCAAATTTACATAATCATAAGCAATTAAGGGGGCAAATTCTAAAGCATTAGTAACACAAACAGATAATCCTGTACAAAAAAAATTAAGCATACAGCTAATGCCAAAAAGTCCATCAATAAAAAAGGGAGACATTATTTTATCACCGGGATACTGTTCGATCTAGATAGAACAGGCACATAGTATCTTTCTTACAGATAAATGCATATGTAATTATAAGCGAGAGATGCTCTTCTACAAATCAACAAGCCTGAAAATATTTCAGGATACAGTCTAATTCCCGTGTGCAAAGAGAACTGTCCATTTATTGTATCTACTGTTCCCAATCACAGGAGCAACAACATTATAGAAAAAACCAACTGCCCAACAGCGAACCACCACACTGATTCATGGTAGCTATTACGTTCTCGACTAAAGGCTAGAAACAAATCGGTACAAATTATACAGAAAACAACAATGCACGGAAGGGCACAATGAAGTTATTTACTCGAAGGATTCCAAACATAAGAGACTTTAACATTGCATCTACCAGCCTCTTTAAATGGTTATCGCAACCAAACACCAAAGAAAATGGTCAAGAGTGTTGAGATCAGGAAAATCAAACAACAAAGTTCCCATACCAGCTCCGTCAGGAAAGCTTGCTTGTTGAGACCTTCCAAGGCTGTAAATGCAGCTTCAAGCACACGTGAAAGGTAAGCTACCACCCTGATGAAATTAGTACAGCAGTTCAAATTCCAGATATTGAAAAGGAAACGACAAAATGCACGCATCAGGCAACACAAACTCGAAAATGAAACCAAGAGAAAGAGGTGAAAGCAGTCCAATGCTTCCTATAAATACGAGATCAAAAAACTGGAAATAAAAATAATCACAAACCTTGTGCAGGCATTTGTGGGCCGATGATCAGGAGCAATTCCATCATCGGGGGACCGATAGTCAGTAGCTTTCTGCTCAGCTGATAGCAACCGCTCCACCTGGTAAAGCGTTTCAGAGATGAGCAACCATTCTTCTCAGACAAACATGACATAAACAGAACAATCACATGACTATGTACAGTCTAGATGATATATTGCTATATTAAAGAGTGATTTGACTTTCCATAATAGGTTATGTGTTAGTGAAACAACTGTTAGTTGGAGGGTAGTAAGAGTTAAGAGGGCAAGATGAACACATATTGTGAAGAGCTGGAGACATTTACTTGTTAGAACATTTAGCTCAATGAGACAGGTTAAATTTGCACAAGAGGATCTTGATCACATAATAACTTCCCATACCACTTGTAAAGCAAATTTTATAGCTGCACCATTTTCAGGGGTCTCCTCTACGTTTGTGCTCAAGTACTTGAACAAAAAAAGGAGGGAATTAGTTGGGCTCTAAGCGATGATTTGCACATTTAACTGTATAAAAAGTAGATTGGTTTGCTTAGATTTCACCACACAGACACTCCACATTGTACTTTAATATGATTTAGGATCTAAACACCAATAGCAAAATTGATTCTGATTAGGCATTGGAAAATGATTTCAAAAGACAACTAATTTTCATGTTAGTTGCATCTTTTTTATTATTATCATTATTTTTTTTTTATTTTCATGTTAGTTGCATTGACCTACAAATGGCATAAAAGAAAACATTAATATAGACCTCGGCCATGACAGTTTCAATACACTGTTGAAGACCCTTATAAGCGGCACCCTCAGCACTTGACATAGCTGTTGCCATTTCTTCACATGAAGCCGCATGAGCACCATCCACCGGTAGTAAAAGTCGGGAAATAGAGTTGGCAAAGTACTGCATGAAAAATATTTGAAGAGGAATGAGTTTGAGAAATAAAATAAACACAGTTTCAGAAATAGTTAATCGGTGACGCAACATACCTGCTGTACGATGGCCACACTGCTTCCACAACGTTGCACAGCCACCATGAAAGATCTGAAACTACTTTCACCAGCAGCAGCAGCAGCTTCAGCCTATAAAATATTGAGTCACTTTTATCAACAAGCCAGTCAGAGATATGGAACACCGACTCAAATGACGGCGCTTAAAATGCATGATACAATATTCAGTCACTTTTATCAACAAGCCAGCCAGAGATATGGAACACCGGTACAAACAACGGAGCTTAAAATGCATGACACAATATTCAGTCACTTTTATCAACAAGCCAGCCAGAGATATGGAACACCGACTCAAACAACAGAGCTTAAAAATGCATGATATGACAGATTTTTAGTATAGAAGGCAATAGAATTATCAGAAAAAGGATAGAGTGTAGAGAATTACAGCAGAAGCAGCAGCTGCAGCAACCCGTCGACTGACGCTGGTTCCAAGTACAAACCTTTCCCTTAAAGCAGCGGCTTCAGTAAGACTATCTCTGGCTCTTTCAAGTCCTTCAGTGATATATTGACTTACCTAAGAACATGAAAAAATGTTTAATGTACCCTTAATATGACTTTTAACATTCATATCCAGAACTGCATCAATAAGGTCCAAAAGAGAGATCAAAAACTTACTTGGTCAAGAAGGCACGTGAAAACGGCTTTGACATTGGCTGCAAGTGCTGCAGGCTGTAAAGTAACCAGAGGAATCAACAAACAGAGCACCAAAACTAACAAATTAGACATTGAATGCAAATGCAATTAAATGGAGATATCTTGCATGGACATGACGGCAGAAGGATGTACCGAAAATCCAATATGGATTCAGTAAAATTCAAGGACTATGATATAAAATTGGATTGGTCCTAATACTATAATGATCCATCCCTTCAGAATTGCTGCTGATAAGAACTAATCACCGGCTAATCTTAGCGCCAAAACAAGAACTAGCGGAAGCAGTTTATTGTTGTTACTATGTTCTCCAGACACAACTTTATGGTATTGTCACTTCCTAACAGCTTGTCAACAGATCTAATGAAGGGAAGGCTGAAAGCTGATCTAATGTTACTGTACCATCAATCACATCATACCTGTGGTGTAAATAATGTACATCGGGAAATGGCTTCCTCATTCCACCGCACAAACTCCGTCACCACAGTAACAGATATTTGTTGGTGAGAGGAGGTAATTGAAGCTCCTCTTGAGCGACCAATTGTCCCACTAGATTCAGATGATTGTTGGTTTTCAGCACGAAGTTCTTCCAACTACCAAATAAATTCAAAAAGAACAAATAAAATTTCAGAATGTATACCAAGCAACAATTAGATGTTTTACTGGGATGCTTCATAAACTATACCTTATTCTTATAAAGTTGTCTCAGAGATGCTTGTTCACACTCAATGTAGATATCTTTGTGGGGAAGAAACAGAGACTCTGTGAGACCTATAAATGATAGGAGCCTGAATTAGTTTCTTCTTGAGAATTGAGGACCAGCATTGACCCAGCTTATATCACAACAAGAAACTATATCAACGAAACGAATTTTCTGACAACCTTGCCAGTAGTCTAGCTCCCAAACCCACTTGGTTGATCTTTTCATGTTTTACAGAAGCTAGACAGGTGGATGCCAAACCCAAACAAAAGAAGCCTAACAGATTTTCTCATCCAAAGTAATCTCACAACAGAGGTAATGATGTCTATTATGGTTTTAAGGGTATGATTGTGGGCAAAGATACAGGACTGGGTGTCCAAAGTGAAGCCACAGGGAATAAGAGCTCTAAGAAAATACAAATGCCATGTCTACATAAGAGAATTCAAAGAATGTCATGCACCCTCCATCTTTAAAAGTTCTTAGATTCCTAATACTTGACTTCTTTAAATGTTAAAAAGAACCTTGAATATTAGCACTTCATAACTAACGTTAGCTGAATAATAATCGTCTAAAGTAGAAGCATTGGTACCTTCAACATCCAAGTCACCACATCCCACTGCACGCAAGTCCTTTGATAGCTCTCGTGTTTTCTCATATGCCACAGCAAGCATTCTCAGATACTGCAACATGAGGCAGATAATGCGAGGTTAAATTTCATGCCAGAGTTTAAAACAGGAGAATCAGAGAAAGAACAGATAGTAGCTTACTAATATAAGTCCTCCTTCTTCCATTGCAGGCGGATTAACAAGAGATGGTTTGATCAAAAGCTTTTCAAGAAGTTTTGGCACTCTGTCCTCCAATACACGCTACACCCCAGAAAGGAAGAAATGCAGTCACAATCCTAAGTAAAATCTTCTATTACACACCAGCTAGGTGAACTTAAAAAGATAGAAGACTGTAATATAGAGAATTGCCGCAACATAAGAAGCAATGATACTCTCAATGAAATGCTTCAGGTAATGACTTGGCAACGATGAACAGACAAAATCATCAATCATAATTCTTACAAAGTGAAAATTACACAACACCTCGTCCTAAAACCATTGCACTTATAATTAATAAGTTATATGAAGCATCCATTCAGTAAATGGATGGAATTTTTTAAACGATTACTAATAACAGATTTGATTATAGAAAACATGGAAATTGCATGGATAACTTAATCATGAACCTCAGGGTGGTAAATCCTCAGACATTAACTCCTTTCTATGTGTATTGCACAGAAAAGATAGCATGTCAGAGGAAACACAAGTTAGAAAGACTGGAACAGCTACAGGCATACCTGGACCAATATTGACATGACATCGTTTGGAGAAGGGAAAACTGCTGTAATTGTAGCAGCTTCTTTGCGTACCGTATCTATAAGTCAAAGATAATAAGTTCGATAAGGATAATTAAATAGCTAAACAACAGTCAGAATAGAGAGCAATAAAACATACCAGTGATATCTTTGTACAGCGAAGATAGACCACGTGCAACATTACTAGGACTAGGCAGAGAACCCTGGTCACCTATAACTATCTTAGCATCTTCATTCATAACCTCCACGTCAAACATTGGGCGAAGTCCCACATAGTGCTGCATAGCACTAGTTCCTCTGTTAAACTGCATGTCAAATTTTACAAGTCAAACACAAGCAAAATTACTAGAAAATGAAACGAGAAGAACATGGTGCGGATGTGTAAACGCCCTTGAAACTGCTAAAGATAAAAATTAAAAACCTCAGAAAGCAACACGAGAACTTAATCTCATCTTTACGACTCATAGAAAAGCTGATTACCTGCGACAAAATTTTAGCACATTCAGCCATGGTAGACAATTCCCTTCTCTGTGATGCTACATCAAACCTGTTCAATAATCGGTTCTCCAGCTCTGTGCAAAGGCATTAAAAAGTGAAAGATGTTACTAAAGATGCCACCAAATGTTGATGGAAAATTAAAATTTTTAATCTGAAAGGGTAGGGTTCCTATAAAAATCTCTTTCTTTCTTTCTTTTTCTATCTCCATAGTACATGAGGTGTTTAAAACTATCTCCACAAGTCAGACAGTAGCAATAAAGAAGACATTAAGACCCGTTGGATACAAAATCTCAGTATTCAAAGGCATAATGCACAACGTTTGCTTTGTTCTGCCCATTAAAAAATTTATGACCTATGAGCAATATTGTGTTGAGTTACGATTTGAAAGACGGTAGATGATGCAGTAAAAAGGTTCTGTTGTTTAGTAAGAGATATGGCAGCATTAGAACCAGAGAAAATCCATACTAATTTAGGTCTGTGTCATTAGGACAAATCTCTTATCAAACAAGGATAGGCTAATGATAAGCTGTCTGTAAATTAGAATTTTTGCATGTAAATGTCTTCTCCACTAGCTGAATACAGATAAACTCTGGTATTAGTCATGAGAAATTATTTTATCATATGATCGATTATGAAATAGTGTAGAAAGGAAAGGTGTGGAAAGTAGGATTCTTATAAAGTTAACAGGAAGGCCGCTGATATCAGGCAAGTGAACACTGTGCTTCCTGACCCTCATCAAATTTAATAGAAACCCAGTACAACACACAGACCTTCAGATAGGACAATGACTTATCTTCATACTTGACGATACTTTGGAGGTAAATTGAAAGAGCTACTTACTCCTTATGCACAATCATTAGAGAGATTTTTTAACACAACAATTGCATCCTTTCCCTAAGTAATCAATTTTTCAAGTAAATGATTAATTTTTCTTTCTTTTGGTTAGTCAAGTAAAGCATTAATCGAACAAGATGATGGAAATTACAAATACGTACATCCATTCATAACATAATTGATGGTGCCAAAGAATTTATGACTAAACCAGCACTCAAGATAAGAGGTGATCCAGATGAGGTTGTGCCACTTATAAACCAAAAGAAAACTAAAAATAGTAAACTTTCCACTCGAACCTTGAAGACAATAAAGTTGATACCAAACTCACATAAATTTTCTGTGATAGAACATGGAATCCTTGTCTACTGAACTAAAAAAAAGAGTTGAAGGTCACTTGTATCTATGTTTAATTTTTTAATTTGCCGAAGAAGTTTCTAGGTACAGAATATCCAGACAAACTGAAGGTTGTGAATGCAACCACATGAAATACTTCCAGATTGCAGAAGACCAAAGTTTTAGAGAATACAAGTTTTCATTTATGGCTTTCTTTGAAAATTGCATTGATTAGCTTAACAACTGATCATCTTGGAGATATATAATTAATCTCTCATGCAGGTCTCTTAGATACTATATATCCAACAAGTAAGAGTGCAACGAGAAACATAGCTATTACTGTAACAATGTAACAGAAACTTAGCTACCATTGCAATATTCTTGAAGATTGTTAACTGCAACTTCCAGTCCCCTGCTTGCTGTTGCATTTCCAACTGAAGCCACAGTCACTGCTTGTCTTCCCAAATCTTCCTCAGCAAATGATCCTGATATAGACACATACTCAAAGATCATCGTCTTGAAGATGCCAAAACATAATATATAACCTCCATCGGTCAAATCATTCAAAATGCTCATTGGATAGAAAATCCCCCCTCACGGGAAAAGTTGCCATAGCCCATAGCATTAATAGATAGCACACATTTTGGCCTCTTCTAAACCAAACATTTTGTAATATACAGCTGCAGGAAAAATTCAGTGATTATGCAATCTCCACAGATGTTATCGACGTTCTTCTGGAGAAGGTTATCATGCAAGAAGCTACTCTTTTTGGTTTGTTCAGGTAGCTGTAAATAAGCTGAATGTGATGCCAAAGTTTACTGGTTAAAAGCTCTAAACTGTTCAAGAGTTTCCCTTGTCCCTCCAGTAGACCAAGATAACAAATGATAAAATTTATCTTCACTGAAACTAATCCATATGCATACATCAGTCAGACAAGTAAATGACAATTTGTTGGTGATTTTGCTAGGCAAACAAAATAGAATGCAATCCCTTTTAAGAAACTGCAAGGTGAGAATTGCCTAAAACCCACAGGTTTCAGGTTTTTGTTCCTCATCTTACAATATGGGATTTCAATTCTCTTCCCTCTCTTTGCTCCTCACTTTCCAACAACAGTTCAATTCTATGCTATAAACACTAGATGCAGAGAAGACAAGCAAAAGAGAGGAAGAGACAAGAGATAATTCCATAAAACCTAATAAAAGAGGCATCAGAACAAAAAGGAAACCATGAACTATAACCAACTAAATGATATCATTTCTGGAACAGCGCACTCATATTTGAGGTACATTAAAAGGTATTTGAAAGGGGTTTTGTCGAGAACCAGCAAAGACATAAAAATATCTTCAACGTCAACAAGGTTTTATTTAGATTCATATCAATTGACCTAATAAAACATGTTACATAGCAATCAAGAAGACTAATGTGTTCATCTAGAGAACAGTTAAAACAGGATGGAATCCAGGTTGAGCCAATGAACAATATGATCATGGACAATCATCATCAAACTCCATAGTTTAGAGCCTAAAGCACCCAAGGTAACACTCCCAAAAGAACTTGGCAAATAACCATAAAACAAATCAAGAGCATAACAAATTCTTGAAATCACCATGAAGACTTTCAAGATAACGTTACAATCAACAGCGCACCAAAACAAGCAAATAGAAAAGAACTCAAGAGAGAAAACTCATCAATAAAATTATCAGAAACAGAAAATATCCAAAAAGATTACACAATAGACTGCTTACTGTTGAGACAAGTAGATCCAAACAACCCCAATAAATACAAACATGTTCATAGATTTCAATCATTTCTTTCCTGTAATAAACAACAAGGCCATTAACTGATAGGAATCTTACGTAATTTCTGTGCAATGGAAGCAGCCTCTGCAACACGATTGTCATCAGAGAAAAGAGGTGAAAGCTCCATTAGATCACCCGGGCTACTATTGAACTCCATAAGATACTGGAGAACAAAAAATTGATAAAGGTTGCTTCAGTTTCTAACTAAAACATGGCTACATTGTAATCTTTGAGATGACCAAAGTAGGAAACCATATCAATCAGACACCTTAATTAGCTCTATTGTTTGACTGGCGGTTTCACGCTGAGCATCTGCACTCTGACAAAACAAATGCCTCAAAAATCAAAACAAGGCCCGAGAAAGAAGCAATGGCACCACAGTTACCATCACAATCGGAGAACACTTAAGAACTGAAAGACAAGAAATAACATGCAAACATGATAACAACGCAAAGTAACTAATCAAAGACAAGTCACCTGTAGATGATCTCCTATCTTGGCTGCGGTTTGCCCAACACTTGATATACGCGAATCTAGCCGCGCAAAACTATCAAACAAGCCATCCACACCTTTCTCAAGCTGTAAAGTGCAATACAAATGCAACACAAAACGTTAGAGCAGAGCAATACACATGTATCCACCCTCTATAGATGTAAACATTAAAACTATATAAAACCAAGAAAATTCGGCTTCCACACCCGCCTATCATTACATAAAAATGATTAAAATCTAGTCATAACAGAAAAATAGATAAAAATAACGACTCCAAGTGGAATACAAAACAATTCCTTTTCTCTGGAAACACAGACAGAATGGTAACTGTACATTTTACAGAGTGTTTAATTAAAATGTTAAATGGAGAGTAGAATAGTGATCCCCAGAAGATGTAAAAGAAATATGCAAGACAAAACTGACCTCACCGAGGGTCTTGCGGTGTTTAGAGTCTTGAATAGTTACTTCTTTCTGGAGATTGTAGAGTTTTCCATCGATCTTTAAGAGAGAAAAATAGGAAGATGCATCAATGAAGTTTACTGTGAGAAAACAAAATATAAAATTGATCAGTTGGTTATAACGTACCTGCTTTCTAAGGTCAATCAACTCCGAGCAGGAATTCTTGAACAAAGACAGTAGAGCATCAACCTCCGGGAACATCGGAGTTGATTTGCTTGGATCTGATGCAAATCGCAAGTTTCCATTTGACAAATCAGATGCTGTACCATGGCCTTCTGCTGATTCTGTCTCGTCCTCTTGATACGAAGGCAACAACTCATTAACTAAGTTGCCAAACAAGGCATCAAACGAAAAGTTCCCCTGTTCAATGCAATAAGACCATGGCATTAGCAATTAACATTTAGCCATTCATGGAGCACGAATTCAAGCACAGGATGAAATGGCATTGAGTAGTCACCTTAAAGTCATCTATGTTTAGAACAAGTGGGTAAGAATCGTCAGAGGAAGATTTTCCTGTTTTGGCGGTCTTTGTACTATCCTTGCTCTCTTTCATCTGAAACAAACCTAAAAACAAATATATGAATAAATTATACTACTCGATGATGAAAGATGCAGATTTAAGAGAAATGAGGCTAGTTAGTGCTTGAGTCTAAACTGGAATATTCTTCCGACTCTCACCATGATGTCTTCTTTTCAATCATATTTAAACATCGAAATTAGCTTCCGTTTAGTACCACTGCATTAAAGCAAGACTAAATCGAAACAACTACACCTAGGAACTGGAAATTGCACCCCAAAACCATTCCGCCAACCTTTCTAACGATACCATGAAAGTTAAATACATAATCACCCCGTACAAATTCTAAAGAAGGATCTAGAAAAGGGTGATTCAATCATCAGAATACCCCAAGTAAAACTAAGGAATAATAACACAACAGTACGCAATTTGCTGAAAATCATACCATTCTTACAGAAGAAGGAACAGAAACGTGGTGATTCAATTATTATCAAATAGAACTTCTGAACTGACGAAATTTTACCTCTTCAAGTATTTGTTGAAGAAATGGTGTCGCTACACCCTACAATGGAAGATTAAGCAAAGGTCAATTTCTCCCAACCGAAATTAACCAGACGGAGCGGGATCGCAGGAAGTAGCTAAACGAGATTTGAGGAGGAGAGCGAGCGGAGAGGGGGAGAAGTGGAGATCAGAATCGAGGAGTACAACAAAATATGTACCTTGTAAGTTGCCGGAGACTACAATGACGTTATGTTCAATGAAGTGGCGGCTGAATACGGTGGCGGGGCAGGTTAACGCCGGTGTCCTTGTCAGTTTTAGTTTTTTACCCGAACATCTGTGTAAATGGGGAAATTATCCGGTGCGACTCGTGTTCTTTTCAATGGTGAACGCGTTCATTTTTCTTTGTTTTAAATTCTTTTCTTTTCTTTTTTTTTTTTTTTTAAAATTTTTGCTTGGGTTTCTTCGTTTCCAACTCTAATCTTTTAAATTGGTCTCCAGCTTTGTGACAACAATTTTAGGGGTGGAAATTGTTATATTTCTTTATTAAATATTTTTTGGTTTTGTAGACTGATTTTTTTTTAAAAAAAACATACATCCTATATGTATTTGAGATATTACATGTAGTTGAGGTTTATAAGAAGAGTCAAGGGATAATATTGCTCATCCATGCCACCTTCATTCGGTGCTCCAAACGCTTCCTAGCTACAAAACCTGCAAACTGGACAGTTAAATGTCCTTAGAGCATCCCCAATGACAGGTTTATGAATTGATTTTCCGTCAAAAAAAAAATTGGTTTATGATAGTTTATAAATATTTTCTCAACAATGGTCCCTTTATAAAAGCATTTACGATGCACAAATTTATATACATAAACTGAAGTTTTTTACAGATGACGTGGTCTTGGCTTTAAAAAGAGGCGAAACAATTTTTGTTTAGATATATACTGGCCCATGCTGATGTAAAAGTGGGATTTTTTTATTTAATTGGAGAAGGCAAATTTTGAGTTGCCCTTAGTAGGAATTGAACCCAAATCTCTCATACTTACCGCCATAACTATTCCCAGGTAAATAAACTAATTATATGAAATTTATTTTACGATCGAGATGCCTTCTGCATCTCTTACACGAGTAGTAACTTAATGTTACTAGGGACTCTATCATAAAACAATGGTTCTTCCCCCTAATTTATGGTCTAAAGTCAATTTAACGAGTAAAAGCAGCCCAAACGTTATTTTTCTAGAAAGTGTGATCTATTTTGAAGTTTGAACTCCTTTTCCGAAATTACGATGTCATAAATTTTTTTTTTTTTGAAAAAGTTCCTGTATTAATTAGAACCTAATCTATTGCAGCGCATTTTACTATAGGCAAGATTATGGACTTCTTCTACATCTCTTTTACTTACTTTAAATATTTTACAATAATTAAAACTTAAATTATGTAAAAGTGAGACCACTTCTTGAGCTTTTGTCGGGATTAATGGACTATTAAGATCATGAATTAATATTTTACAATTAGTAAGAATCTTTACCCGATCAATGCCCAATGTAGAAGCTTCACGTAATGCTAGAAGGCAAGTTAATGCTTCTGTCTGAAAGGAAGATAGGGAGCTGAGGGTGATAGCTTTGATTCGCATCACCATATTGTGAGATGAGTTGATCTTCCACGCTCCTGCAACACTATGGGATTGTGGATCATACAATCCATCTATCAAAATCATGGAACGCTCTCCTGTGTGATGCTGTTGTGCAGACCTTTACATATTGTTATCCGGATTTAATCTTCTTCGGTACTTCTCTTGTGGTAATGGAACTCATGATGAATGAGTTGCCATTCGGTAAAGGGGTCCGATTGTTGGTTGTTCCAGATTTTTTTTTTTTGTTTCATCCAAGCCATATCCACCAACAAATAATGAAGAAGAGATCAACATCCAAGGTTGTTGGTGTGGATTGTATCCAGTTTGTGAACCATTCTAAAAGTGAAGGGCTAGAATGGTTAATTGCATTTTGCGTAAATTGAAGGTGCCAAATTCCAGATTGCCCTAGAGTGGGGGCACTCCAGAAACAAATGCAATGAAGTTCCTTTGGATGCCAAACATCGAGGGCATTCATTTGGTACTGCAATACCTCTCTTCTGTAGTGTAGGTCTTGTTGGGAGCGTATTCGAGATTGCCCTCTTGAAATTTCATAGATTTCATTTAAGCAAGAATCCACATGATCTTATGTAATAAGGCTCTGGGTCTTATCGACATTCTTCAATGAGTCGATTCGAATACAACTTTTGAGTACCTAAACTCTTTTGCCATTTTCATGTGCTGTTTTGAAAATAAAATAGTTTTATATTTTCTACAAAGAAAAGAATCAAATTAAAATATGCTTTTCTAACAAATACTCACTAGCTCCAAAAATAACGTACAATCTGTTTTAAATTAAGTCAGTATAATAAAATAAATTCTTTTTCTAGTAAGAAATTAATAAAATTTTATCTTTACAAATATTACCTTACTAGCTAATACTTTGATAAGACATACAAATTTGATACATATTTCTAGCTTGACAAGCATGTGATACTTTCTCAGGTATATTGAGTGAAACTCTAATGTAACGCACACTAATGCGGGTTTTGAAAAGATTGTTTACTAGCGACATGTTTTCTGTTCTCTTTGTCTTGAAATTATTATTCAGCATAAATTTTTACTTTTGCTAAGAATGAAAATCCATCATTTTGAGATAGAAGGAATATATATCAATTAATTTACGAGTATCAAATCGTCATTCATATCCATCAACTCTTCACTCCACTTCTGTTATTTTGATCGACCGACCCATTTGAAAATTTACGAGCCCTTCATAAAAAAAATATTCTAATAACTGGGAGAACACAATAAATGTGAAAATATATTTTAAGTTTTATCTTCAATTGAAAAAAATATAATAAATAAAATTTAGAAAAAATCAAAATACTTTATAATAAAGACGAAAAAGGAGTTAGTTTACTCAATATGCTTTCTTAGGACATCTCCAATCATTACACTATATTTACATCAAATTTTGGGGGGTGCTTGTTTAGAGGGTTTGATACCAATTCTATAGGTTTGATATCAATTAATGATGCTTAGTTCAATAATTTGGAATGAGCTGGCCCACAAAATTGACTTTCACTCCTTTTCTTTCATTCCACTTCAATTAGGTGAATTTGATAGAAAATAGAAATTTTTTTTTGACTCTTCCATCATTTTGCCCCCTCTCCCTTCTCTGGATCGTGCCTTTCTTCTTCCTCATCTTAGCCTTCGTCTTTCTCCTTCCTCTCTAGCTTCCACCTTCATACCTCTTTTTCATGCAAAAACTAAAATTATTCTATCATCAATTTTTTTAATTCTCCCTATATCCACTCTTCTCAGCAGCATCATCAACATCATCACACTTATTTTTTGCATCAAAATATTTGCCCATCTTCTCCATCTCTGATTGTACACAAGGACATATTTTCAGATCCGTCGAAATTTATGCCCCCAAAAAAGCCATGAGTTCTCAATTTTTGCCTTCTTTCTACATTCTTTCATTGATAGTTAATTTCATTTCTGTTGCAATGGAGCTAAAATGTCCCTTTAGTTCGCTAAATATGAATAGCACGTAGGAGGAATTAAGAAAATTTAAAAAATAACAAAAACCCATTTGACAAATCTTTGTTGGTGTCACAGAGATATGTTTGTCTCTATTGATGGAATTTTCTTTCATTTCTGATGGTTCAAGCTTTCGACGGCGGTGGAGGAAAAATTTTTCTATGGTTAAATGTTTGCTCTTTAGGGATAAAAAAGATATTTTATCTCATTTTCCATTTCAAAAATTTTATTAACCAGGCAATATATATGACAATGATAATATATCAACAAATGTCATAGAAATTGGAATACTATCAAACCCCTTTTCTTTCCATATCCTAAGTGGTGAACCAGACACCTCCTTAGTGTAGAAATGAAATATTTCCAACATCTTTTTGCACCAAATTTCCTTGCACTCCAATCTTGATGAATCAAATTTCATGTGAAAATAATTTTTTTCACAATTACATTTTTATTGAATTATGTTAAATTATATTTGTGCTATAAGTTTTTATAATATAGTGATTCTAGTTGTAGTCCGTGGAGTAGTCATTTTTAAAATTTTTTTGTTATTATTCAATCTTATTGGTAAATAAAAATAATTTTTTAACAATAAATATTATATAGGTAGTATGGGTCTTATTTTGAACATCTCAAAAAACTCTATAATATAATATTGCTTTCATTATATAATTTATTTTTTTAAGTCTAAAAATGTATTGAATCATTTTTTTTTATCAAAATTAAAAAAAAAAATAGTGCACAAAGAGAGTACAATTAGTAGTTCACACCAAATTTGATGTGATTTTATTCATTACATTAAAATAGTACACTAATTTACTGTCTTTATTGGAGTACAAATTTTACACCAAACTTTATAATATTTTAGTGTTTTCGTTAGAAATGCTCTTACACATAAAAAATACACACTAAAAAAATGATTCATTCCAAAAAAAGGTTTGCAATGAAGCTTCAAAATATGGTCCCTCAACCCAACTGGTTGCTGTTCTACGAAATTGATCATTTTTGTTTTTTGAAAAGGTGAAATTGATCAATTGATTAAACTGATAAACATATTGCGCCTCTGTTTTGAAAAAGAAAAACAGGAATTTAAAGTAAAATATATCTCATTTTGATTTTAATCACAACTGTCTTTTTATTTTTGTTTTTTAACATGAAAAGTAATACTTGTGTTCAACATGAAATTAATTATATTAATGCTAATCAATATGCTGATAACTTGTACAAAAATACTAAAACAATTATTCTTTTATTTCAAAATAATTGCCTTCTTTGAATTTTCATTTTTCCAAACAATAAATAATCACACACCCAGAAGTGAATAGTATTACATTCTAATCACTTTATTAAATACTTCTTCAATTTTGGAGAAGTTTCTAAAACAATTCTAAAAAGGGGAATAGGAATGAAAATGATTGATTTGATTATGGATGGCTTGGTGCACTGAAAACAAAGCTGCATGCATGAGACAATTCTCCCCATTTTGCCATTCTTCTTTCATTTCATTCATGGAAAACCCGGAACAACAAACTGTTAATCATTTTCCATCACTGACTTCGGATCAGAGGACAATATCCATTTGTAAGAGAAGAAGAAATGACAACAACATTAGAATTTAAGTACTAGTAGCATTTTTCATTCTTCCATTTAATCATAATCACTGAGTGCGTGGTCTCGTGCTCTTTGGCCTCGTGCTCTTTTGTTATGAAGTCAAAGTGGCTGGGGAAAAATTCCAAGCTTCCTCTCCTCATCCCACTTTTTAACCTGCGATTTCATGTTCAAAGAAGAACTCATGAAAATGTTGATTAGCACATCAACTAATTACATATATATTGCAATGAAGAGTACTAGTAGTCTAGTAGTAGTGTTACATTACCCATTCTGTTGGACAAGACAACGATTGATAAGCCTCCGAGAACTTGGCACATTTCCCCTCATTTCCCCCATTTTCTTTGGTGCACCTACCACAATTTTCAGCAACAAAAATATACCTAATTTCAGATGCAGAGGCAAAGGCAACATTGACTTCAGAGAATTTCCATTTCCCTGGGTTTGGTCGAAAAGCTGTGTATACAGTACATACATTCTTTTGAGGTGTCCCGTTTGATATTACTGAGGAATTTAAATGATAGACAAAACAACCAATTACTCCTTCGGTCCCATAATTATTGTCCAGTTTGGGTTTTCATTTCTAGTTCAAATTATACTAAAAGTGAGATCTGATCTCAAACAGGACCATAATTTTGGGACAGAGGGAGTATTATATAATACTCTGTACCAGAAAAATCCTACAAAGAGAGTAATAAGCAGTGCAATTATTCCGGATGACTGAAACATCAATATTTATACCTGAAAAACTCGTAGTATCGAATGCAACAGTTCCTCAGCTTATTAGTGAAGATTTGGCCGTGTGCATCACCTTTTCCATCCCCGTCCTCCTGGTCAACCTATATATTTCATGCGCAGCACTGTATGTTAATTTAATGTTCCTGAAATTAGAATTTTAAGAGTAAATTGAGAAAAAAAATCACCATAAATCCCAAAATAATTATTGTTATGTTCCTACAATAATCATTTTTTTTGGGTGCAAAGGATAATCATTTTTCAATAAGTGGTACTTAATTCTTTCCACCAAAATATGTCCTCTTCCGATGATGGGGGCAACATGCAAATTTTTGTAAACAAGTCCAGAAGTTCACGAGATATACAGAACATTGGCTTGAAAATACATGTTCAAAATTAAATGTTCCCAAAAACTTATAAAATCCTACCATAAACCAAATAAACAAAACACCCCCCACCCCAACCACACACACACACAGAGACACAGACAGCATTAATTATCTGCAACAAATCAAACAAAATTGGAAAAGGAGCGAATCAAGAAGATGGACGATGAAAAAGAAAGTGACTAGCCTTTTTGTCCTTGGGAAAATCGGTGGAAGGAGGAGGGGGTGGCTTGGAGACAATTGGATGATCACTAGGCCTTCCTGCTTCTTCACCCCTAGTAACCTTGTTTACATTCTTGGCCCTCTTCTTACCATGAGGATCCATTACTGAACCAGCTTCAGTCGACATGAATGATTTACTCCAAAATCTTTAATAAATTTGTCACGTCCAGCAGATTGTGTTGAACTCAGTTTCCAAATTGCCGATTTGATGATTGCTCTTTGCTTGAATTTTGATTTTCTAAGTGAAGTTTCTTTCCTCAAATGACAGAAATCAGTAAACAATCGACCCCAAAACATTGGAAACTTGTAGAGTTTTGATGTCACTTTGAGTTATTGTGCAGACAAGTGGCACAGACGTGTTACTATGACGGAGTAGCCACCTTTCTTCGCTTAACATTATTTTTCCTTTCTTAATATTTTGTACTACCAGTTTTCATTTTGGTATCCATTTGACTGTTACACCATTCTTATGGGAAAAAATGTTTCTCATAAATTACCTCCTCAATGTCAAGAGTAGTTTTTGTACCTTTGAAATAATCATATTTTAGTGTATGATTTAATTTCTTTGGTATAAGATAAAATGAAATCTAATAAACAAATTTTTTTTAAAAAAAAATTCACCCTAATAGATCCCACTTAAACGTGAGTAAAACCCTCCTTACAACTTTTGGTGGGGATCGAATTCTGGTCTATTACCAGGAAAGTCAGCAACCTAACTAATAGGCTCGTTCAAATCTCATATAATAAACAAAGTTAAAGAAATTAGTTTTTGAAAGATAAATTCAATTAAAAAATATAAACAATTCAATAGTTGAAGGACAGAAAATTCTTAGATATATTTTTAAGACAAAGCAAGAGCAACAAGGATAGTTTGAGGATCATCCAAGTTCATACTGTATTTAGTAACTTCATCCGCTCTAGTTTAGTAGTTTTTATGGCTTTAACCACTCTTATTATAACAAAAAACATCCACCTATTCGGAGTACTACTATGCCTGTGCTCAGGAAAAAGAAAAATTCCATAAAATCAAATTTACAAACAATGGCAAAACCACAAAATGTGTGTCATTTGCAAAATGAAATACTCCTCAAATTCTTATTATAAGACATTTTGATTTCGTCTTACGTTTTATCTAAAATATCTTTTTAATTGAAATAAAAATTTTAACAATATTTCATGATAATTAGGAGAACACGATGAGTATGAAAATATATTTTTAAATTTTTTTTCCAATTAAAAAAATATCTTATGTCAAACTTATGACGAAATGAAAATAACGTAAAATAAGAACCGGAGGAGGTAAGACACCATTGCGCACAAAAGATTCAACATGTCCGTGGCGAGTGGAGTGCTAGTTTGATTTTCTAGACGTTGGTCTTTCATTTTATTCCACGACAGTCCAAAAAAAAGAAAAAAAAAAGAAAAGAAATTAAAGAAAAGACACAGTTTCGTTTATCAACCAAAAACAAATTTTAAAAAATAAATAAGACATATTGATTGGTCTACTAAAGAAAAAAAAAAGTTTCATATCCCATAGGCCCAAACTAATTATCCTATTTGTTAGACGTTTCTTATCCACAGACTGTTATTATTTAGGTGTTTTTTACTATTATTAAGTTTGTTTCAAAAAGAAAAAAAGAAAAAGAAAAAAATGCTCATTGTGGATGAGTACCTCAATGCATCAGGCTGCCAAAAGCAAAGAGCAAAGACAAAATGTTGGATGGAGCCAATCCATTAAACACATAGATGACCTTCCTAAGAAGCTTCCCTACTAATTTACCTACATGAACAACACATCCATTTCTCCTCATTATCTTAATAATCCACATATTTGACACATCTATATATAAATCAAAGCCCATGAAGAAGAAAGAAAGAAAGACATTAAGGAGGAAGAATAGAGTAAAAACAAAAAAAAAAACAATGATGAGGCAATCCCAATTCATTTCCATGTCTGTTTTTGCCCTCTTAATCATCATCATATCATCAGCCATTCCTTCCACAAACAGTTATAACTTGGCTGCAGCCCAGTATTCAAATGACATGGTAAACTCAACCTGCAGAATTTGTACTGAAATATCCACCATATTTGACTTCAACTTCTGTGTCACCACAATCCAAGCCGCTCCGGGAAGCCGGGCAGTCGATCTCCGGGGACTTGCAGTTCTTACAATGGAGCTGGCTTTACAGAATGCGACCACCACAGTTGCAGCCATAGAGAAAATGATTCTCAGTCAGACATTCGATCCCCTGACTACCAAATGCTTGAAGAATTGCTTGGAGTCTTACGCGGATTCGGTGTCGAATATTGTGATGGCAATGGGAGCTTTCATGGCTGATCAGCTTGCCACTGCTAACACATTGATGGGTTCTGTTGTGGAGCAGCCTATGACTTGTGAAGCTGATTTCAGGCACAAGAAAGGGGAGATTTCGCCGTTGGCGAAGAATAATTACAATCTATTTGAAATTGGGATCATTAGTATCTGCATCATTAACCAAGTTAGTCTGCATCCTGTTCCCCAAGGAATGTGAACATGGAGGGGTATTTGAACTTTGAAGGAGTTGATTTCGTGTTCTGCAGCTCTGCACTTCTGCTTGCTAGTTTTGGCAGGGGAGAACAGAACAGATTGCAAGTTTTTTCTACATTTTCCTGAAATTTCCAATTGATTTGTGAATGTCAGCAGAACATTTGACACTGCATCACCTTTTAAAATTAAACAATGGAAATGATGTTTTGCAGCACAGTTTCTGAACATGGTTAACAAAACTGGTTTTGGCATAATATGAGAATTTCTCTGTTTCTGATGATCTATGATACCTTAAGCAAGCAATCAAATAACATTGTATACACGATAGTTTCCTCGCAACTAGCAAGGACTCCTGCAGTCCCATTTAAATAGTCGCATTTTTTAATAGTGTTCCTGTTCAACAAAGTGAAATATTAAAATCAGACGGAGAGAATAAATATAACATATCTTAAAAGAAACGCTAATTCTAACGAACAATATTTTGGCAATGCAAGTCAGGGCTAGTGAAAATGTGTGATCTAATTGATAATAAACGTACTAGATTTATTTACTAAAGAAACAAGAAGTCAACTTAATAATGTCATTGATCTTCATTGTACGATTAGTTCACCCACCATTTGAAAACATGTAATTACCTATTAATAATCATATATTAAGTTGGACAACCGGAATCGCAAATTCTTGATTTCATCCCACTGTCATTCATTCAGCAAGTTCTTCAGCACCTTTTGTGAATTGGTTGCTAAATGTTGACAGTTAGAAGTGGTAAGTCACAAGATATATAATCAAGTCCTTCAATTAGGAGACCTAAGCATCCAGCAAAATCAGTTGGTAATGGTTGGAGAAACCCATAGAACAAGTTGAACAGGTTTAAGCCATCTTGTTTAGCGATTAATGAACCAATGCCGGCGTCTATAGTTTCTAACAAGGGTGAACATTTTGCAAAAGTTTAGGCCATCTTGTTTAGTGATCCAACATCAAATATAATCTCCAACAGTAGGATGGAAAGGGCTCCGCGTAGTATTACGGATCTGTCAAATATATGGAAGTTGGTATTGCACTTTTTCTAGGGATTAATTTGGCATGTTGGATGGCGTTTAGGATCGAGATGAATTTGGCCATTCAATCTCAAGACAAAAAAGAGGATTACTTTTGTCATTCTTCTCTAGGATGGTGCTCAACCCCTCCAAATTAAACACTGTATTCTTATAAGATAATTCTAGGAAACTTCCTTGATGCTAGATCAGTTGTCTATTTTACTGTTTTTGCACAAGGTTTAACCTCTGCAATCATATATAACTCTCTTCAATCGAAAAAGAAAGAAATAAATTAGGTTGAAGGATTCACATAACAAAAAAAAAAAGAAGAAAAATGCAGCCATTCTGTTTACTCTTTTTCTCAGTTTCCTTGCTTTTCAGTTCACTAATATGTTTTGCAAATTGCAGCTTGATCACTGAAATTAGCACGACCGATGTCGTAAACTCAACCTGCAAACAATGTGCTGAAAAATCTACATCTACCACTTATGACTACTGTGTCGCTTCCCTCCAAATACCTCCCATCAGCCATTTAGTGAACCTTCCAGGGTTAGCCATTGTTGCCATGGAGATCGCTCTAGAAAATGCAACCGGCACAATCCAAACGATAAAGGAGACGATTGATGGTGGGGAATTAGACCCTTTTGTGGAAGATTGTTTGACAGTGTGTTTGGAACTTTACCAAAGTGCAATCTTCACAGTTGAAGAAGCAGTTAATGCATTCCTGTCTGAACATTTCGATGATGCCGACATACTAATGAGCTCGGTTATGGAAGATGCCATGACTTGCGGGGAAGGATTCAAGGAGAAGAAAGGACAAGTGAATCCATTGGTTGAGCAAAATGAAAATCTTTATCGGCTGAGTAGTATTGCAGTTTGCATTATTAAACTCGTTTCTTCCAGGTTTTTGCCTCCTCTGTCCTCTTCAGGACATAACCTGGGAGCAAGAATCTAGTATTATCATTGTATCAACCATATGTAAATTTAGAGGAAGATACTAAGCAAGAGTCACTTGTAATATTGAAATAACCATAAATGTATCATGAGACTAAATTTCATAAGTTTCAAGCTACTAAAGCTAATCTATCAATCACTAAGAAAAAGATGCAGCAAACAACAACACTTGATGCTTCCTTTTCACCCTAACAAGGCATTTCTATCAAAACCTAAAGATCCTATTCCATCATGTTAGGGTAGGAGCCGGCGGTTGAGGAGCCGGAGCTGGAATTGTCGATTTCCGGCAGCATTCAGGATCACCCCATCTTGATCTGCAATTGTAACAGAATTGATATTTGCACCTACAAGTCATATGCATACATCCATCTGTTTTTTCCACAAGCACTTGGCAGCTAGGACATTTCTGCCACCTCTTCTTCTCAGCCAGAAACATGAGCATCTTTTCATCGTTTCCTCCGCCTGTTTCCTCCCCATTCAGCATCTGAAACTCCTCACACGTGAATTCCGAATGCCATGGCACCCGGCAGACGGCGCAAAAAGATCTCCGGCAAAAGGGACAGTTACTGTCCGTTATGACACCGTTAGAATCATTGATCATCAATGCTGAGCAATCCTGAAATGGGCAATACTGTTTCTGGAAGTTGGGTATCTGGGAATGGCAGAGGAATTCATCCCATTTATCAAACACTTCAATCGGGATCATCAACCTACAGGTGTCGAAATCGAATGGAACCCTGCAATCAACTCCTGGACAACAAATCGTATCCGAATCGTCTTCGATCTTCGCTACAATGTGCTTGATTATGCATTCGTTGCAAAAATTGTGATCGCAACAATCGCTCCAGAACATCTCCAGGCTTTCTTTAGCTTCCGTGCATATTTCACAACGGATTTGTGATGGGCCGATCACTTCTTCATCCTCAATAATCGTCGTCGGCATTGTATGTTTGTTACATATTCTGCTTGCTTGAATAGACGAGAATGCAGTATCTTTCACCGGAGAAGTGAGAGATTCCAGCAGATTCCGAGCAAACACCTCCCAGGAACGAATTTTTCCGGCGGAAAACTTCTTGATAGTCATCATCAATTTTTTGGCTAAAGTTTCTCTCCGAACCCAAATAAATAAGTTAAATTATCATCAAAATTATTAAATTGTCACTGATCCGAAGGCCGCCGCCGCCGTTTATCTTCTCTCGCACACACAAAATTACACAACAGTAAAACACGTACATTAACAAAATAGAAAACTACTAAATTCTGTTCCACTCTGATTTTAGTATTCTACTATTTCAAAGACATACCGGAATTACACGAAATTAGCCGGAAATTAGAGATATTGACGGAGTGGACTGAAGCAGAGCGGTAGGGTTTATGGTGGTGGTCTTCTTCCGTCGTAGCTAATTTGGTTAGGGTTTCATATGACTTAGTGTAACTATTAGTATTAATTTGAAGAAGCCCAATCTCTTAAATGCTAAAAGTACACAAATTACTAAGGGAACGTAAATAAATCCCCAAAATTAAAGGTGAAAGTCTTATCCTTATCTACTTATATATGTTGATCAAGTTGTGGCTCGTTTCCTAATTATAAAATACGCAGTTTTACACCAAATTTAGATTGCAATGGTGCCCTGTGTGTATGTATAATAGATACTACCTGATGATAAAGTAAAGATTCTTTGAGATCAACATTACCATCTTTGTTTGCGTAATGATCAGATTTATAAACAAATATCGTAGTTCTATGATATGAACAATATCCGCAAGAATCACGTAATTAAGGGTATGTTTATTTCGTTTTTTTTAGTGTGTATTTTTATGTGTTTTTTTATATTGAGAATGTAAAAACGTGTATTGAAAATGTAAAAAGGTATGCTGGGATTGGACCGTTGTTATTTAAACAAGCTCGTCTTTTTATATATATATATATATATATATATCTTACTAAATTAGAAACAAAAACCACACTTAACAGAAAGCACCACCATTTGCCATGTGGCATTTCCACATCATATTTTTAAAATAAATCTTTATTTTCACATCTCCTAGACTTAAAAGTCAAATGCAGTCCAAATTCACCTCCACTTCCTATTTTTGCCAAAAAAAAAGACGGGTTCCTAAAAAACCCAAATCCTCATCCACATCTCCACGACAATCGACTCCCTAATCAATCCCTTCTCGACAATAGAAAAAAAAAACAAATTTCTCATCAATCATCAATTGAGAATATGAAGTGAAATATACTCATTTTCTATTAGCATATTCAATCTTTTCATTAGTGATGATCAACTACATCCTGATCAGATAAAATTTCGACTTCAAAAAATATTCTCTTTACCTTTCTATATAAACACAAAGAAAAAAAAAAAATTTCATTGATCTTGCTTTGGCCGTTGTGGTGGTGCAATTACAGGTATTAAAATTTAAATGATTTTATTTCCATCATTTGTTTGGCTTTTATTATTTTTTATTTTTCCCGTTCAAGAATAGTGTTATTACTATTATTTTTATGCGTCAATCCGTTACAGCTACCGTAGCCGTTGTCAGGTAATATGATGTGATTTCTTATATAGTTAGTTGGCCTAGAAGTTTTGTATGATTTTAGTTCTGTTTGGATTGAATTGATTAATTGAGTTTTTGTTACAAAGTGTGGTTTTTTAAATTTCTTTTTAATGTTTTATTCAATTAGAGTGATTTTCTTTTTTTAATTATGGAGTCTCAGTTTTTTTTTCGTATATGATCAGTTACGAAGTGTGTTTTTTCTTTGTTTAATTGTTTTTTATTTTGTTTCACACTCCCAGTTGACCAATTATTATTATTATTATTTTATCTCATTGCAAATAAAGCGCGTTTTTATTTTGTGTTTGGGCTTTCAAGAATATACTTTTTGAATTTTGGTTTTTGGACTTTTTTTAGTTTCTCATCATCTAAATAGTTCAGGTCGCTTCTTCTAACTAATTTCTGAGGAAGCCTTTTATGAATTTGAGGCGGAGAGGGAAAGAATGATGTTTCTACGTTTATTTGTATTTTTATACAACATTTTTACCTACAAAAATTTTATTTTTCTCAATTTTAAATGGGCTATCTTTTACTTTCTTTTTTTTATTTGTCATGGTGAGGTGAGTTCTTTTTTAGTATAACTTGAAATCTATGCAAATTTACAATATTTTCATTCTCATATTTGTGATCAACCAATTTCATCAATTAACCAGTTTTAAAATCATATTTTTGATATTTTACTACTTATAAACTTTTGGAAGAAATAGTTTCAACAATTAAGCGTATACCCTTGGGAGGAAGCTTACTACAAAGCTATTATAAATCTCCAAAACTAAGCATTGATTTGGCATAATCGGAGAACATCAATAAATTATCTTACTAATATTTAAACTTTTTAGGATACTTTTATATTTTGTCTAGCATTTAATTCAAGACATATATTTGATCAAGTTTATTTATATTTAAGAAGTAACACTTATAAAATATTTCTAAAACGTACCGGGTCAAATACAATTTCTTTTTATACCAAATACAAACATTTCTATGATCACACTTATAAAATATTTCTAAATTTTTCTAACATTTCTAAAATATATCGGGCCAAATACAAAATATTTTTTTGCAGATACAAACATTTCTAAGATGTACATGTATATATTGGGCCAATGCGCGACCAGACATCACTAGTATATATATATATATAAATATATATATATATTTATATATAAAGAAGCTCGTCTTTGTTACGTAGAAGAGTAGTAGACTAATGATAAACTCACCAAATTCTAGCCATTGTGAAATCTTGCACTCTCGCTTTTATCTTTAGTGTTTATCCATTGTTTGTTCACTTTGTTGATCCGATCTAAAAAGAGCTTCATTACATTCTAACAAATAAATAAAAATCAAGGAAGGTGAAATGTGAGACAATTTTGGCAGCATTTTCACTGTAAGTGTATTTATGTTTTGGAAAAAGAGTATCATGTGTAGACTTTGCGTGTCTATTTCTTTCGCTTTACGTGTATTTCTTTTAAGGACTATGTTAACACATAAATGTAATTATCTATAGTACTATACTAAGAGAGAAACTAGAGAGAGGTTTCAAAAAGAGTTTTTACGCCGCCACGTAGGATAAAATCCTATGTGGCATTTTTATAGAAAATATAAAAAAAAAGTTTATGCAATTACATTACAAGTCCTTGAGAATTTATGGAAATAAATTTTATCACAACTAATTTTATATTAATGGACGGATAATTGAATAGGGATGATTTGTCACGATTTCCGAAAGTAGTTATTTCCCATCCAAAAAAGATAATAACATAATCCCTAAATAAGAATAGAAAATAAGTAGCATTGATTAATTTGTTTTATGAAGAGATCATGTAGTAATTAGTTTTTCCGGTCATTACCAATTAACAATTATCAATAAAATGGAATGGTAATAAATTAATGCAATGGAATTAATCCCTCCCCAAAATAATCCTAAAATTTCCACAGTCTAAGTTGAAATTACTCATTTTGAAGTTGGACGACGTTTTTAGTAATAAATTAATCAAATCAAGGCGTATCTTCATTGATTTTTGAATTTTGAAATGGATTGCAAAAGGAAATTGTGCATGCGTATATTTTTCAATTGCTATCAATAAGGTATTCAAAGCTTAAAATATCAAATTTGATTCGGTTAAAAACTTCAAAAGATAAGTAAGCATGAATCTTAATCCATATAACGATATTCAATTTTTGACATTAGAAAATCATCCACTACAATTTCGGATATTCAAATGCTCGTTTCATTCTTAATCAAATCCAAAATGAAACTCCTAATCTTATCTATTATTATATATTTATCTTTTCATTCTAACAAAAATATATTATTCTTTGGCAAATTACAAAAATAATGTTTCCATTTACACTATTCATCCTATATATATTGCAACCTACATATTGATATTGTAGCATTCATCCTCCACGACAACAGAAAATTAGAAGGTATAGTTCATT